TCCACCGGCCATGTTGCCTGAGCACCCACTGTGCCAGGTCCTGCTTTAGCTGCTGGGACAGAGCAGTTCATAAAACAGATACATTCTTGTCCTCCCTGGGTTTGAGACTATTAAAATATTAACCCACAATGGCCAGTTCTCTGCTCTGTGCCAGCCTTGCATTCATGGCAAGCATCTCTTTACTGTTTTAGGAAAGATTGGGGCCTGAACCTCCCTGATGGTCTTCTAGGGTGTGCAGGCCTCCTCAGCACTGAGGTCATACTCACCAGCAATCCTGAGGGGCAGCAGGGCAGGAATTCCTATCCTGGTGTAGGAGGCACAAAGAGGGGAATGTCTTGCCATGGGCTTTTCACTTGCAAGAGACAGAACCAAGTGAATTTCAGATGGCTTTGTGGGGGAAGCCCCCAGTGTGCAGGCTTGGTTCATAGTGCCTACTTATGTGAGCTTTCGTGAGCATAGCCACAGGCTTTGGAGGGGGCCCTGTGGCCTGTCCCCCGTTCCCAGCCAGTGTGGCACCAGGGGAAAATTCCTGCCCATCTGGCTCTCGGGAAGTGGGTGGCATCATCCCCTTTCCTGGGGCTGTAGTGTCACATCAGGGCTGGGCCCCTCTTGTCCAGCCCCAGCTTGGGTGGGGGAACCTGCCTGACAAACAGGCAATGACAGTGTCACCCTGGGAGGCTGTGGGGTGGTGCGTTTACCCAGTAGAAAGGTGAAGGTACTTTCCTTGGACTAGTTTGCTAGAGTGAGGGTGAATAAGCTGGTTGCTGGCAAGGAAGCCTCTGCTCAGGCCTGTGCTGCCTTTCAGTGGAACCCCAGAATTCTGCCCTGAATTCCTCCCCTCCATGATGGACAGTACTAGGCATAGCTAAGAAGGCTTCCTCAGGCATGCATGTTGTGGGGGGTGTTCCCCATGAGTTCACTAGAGGAGTGCTGATCATGCTCCCAGGGCCAGCATGCCAGGACCGGGCCAGCCAGGGACCTTTCTGAGGGCACATGGTTTTAAAGTTGTGTCTTGAAGTGTGAGTTGGGGCTTACATGGGGGCCTCGGGAGTGTGGTGGAGGGACATTCATTCCATGGAGTGACCCATAGTGAAGGCAGGAGGAACCCAGGCAGGATGTATCTGTGAGTAGGAGCCTGAGGTACAGGGGCTGGGAGCTGGAAAAGCCAGTTGATCGGCTTGGCCTGGGAGGTGTGAATGGGCTCCAGTGGAGGAACACACTGGGGGAGGGTCTGGTGGAGGCAAGGTGAGTGTTTGCAGGAATGGGTGAGGCTGGTGCTTGGTCTAGCAGTGTCCCCCACTCCACCCTTAAACACTGCTAGTAAGTAGTTACCTGTCTCTCCCCACCCAGCCAGGCCCAACAGATAAGGGGAAGAGAGAGGGTTCTGGCAGGGAATGGTTGTGGCTTGCCATACCAGTCTCCTCAGGCTGGCCCTGAGGCCTCATTGGGCCTACAGTCCTCTTTAGCTTCCCTAGCGTGTGCAAGAATCTTGGGGATTGGGGTTCTGGGGTGGCTCGGTCAGTTGAGCATCTGCCTTTGGCTCGGGTCATGATCTCTTGGGATCCTGGGGTCAGCCCTCACATTGGGCTCCCTGTTCAGGGGAGAGTCTGCTTCTTCCTCTGCCCTTCCCCACTGCTTGTGCTCTTTCTCAAATAAATAAATAAAATCTTAAAAAAAAAAAAAAGAATCTTGGGGATCTTATGAAATGCAGTCTTTGATGGAGCAGGTCTTTGGGGTAGCAAGATGCTGCATTTCTTCAAGCTCCAGTAAAATAAAGCTTTCCCTGCTGTTCAGTGAGCCAAGGCAAGTGGTGGTCCATTCCCACCTGTGGATATGCCCTATTGCCCCTCACCTTCTGGTTTGGGGTCTGTCCCTCCTGATGGATCCTGAGAACAGAACTGCCTTTTATCCAGGGATTTATCCCTACTGCTTGGCACAGCACCTGCTTTCTTAGTAGGTTTTCAGCAAATACGAGTGAGTGAGTGAACAAGTGTAGACAGAGTGTCCCTTTCCCATACATCAGGCAAGCCCTTTCAGAGAACAGCAAAGGTTACAGCTGCCAAGAACGATGGTTTCTCTGTTCTCTTGATGAGGCCGTTTCCCCTGGAATGGACTGGGAGGACACTAAATTTTTACTTTGCACACACTGCTGGTTGGTGAGCAGTTGGGATCGTAGCCTGGTGCTGTGAACATGGGGTCTGTCATTGAGTTAAGATTATATAATCTCTGCCTTCCCTCTAGGAAACTTGATGAAAGTTCCAAGCAAGTGACAGAACTTTTGTGTTTAGCCAGGGCTGGCATACAGGGGAGGAGGTGATGAGACCGTTTTTGTTGATAAAAGCATGGTCTGTTTCCAGGGATTTTCATAGGTCACATAAAATCTCTTTTGATCATAATATTTTACGCAAGAGTTCCCAAGATGGGCAGGATGGGCTTATTGGATTTGCCTTGAAATCATGTAGCTTCCAAATAAACTTGGTGCCCACGTGCCCACCATGGACTGAAGCAAGAAAGCAGTGTACCTGACCACAGTGCTATCCCCCTGGCATGTTGGGCTAGATTTCCTCTGCTTTTGTCCTTCTGCCTAAATGGTTTTATAATTTAGAACAATTTTTTTTTAAAGAATGCCCATAGTAATTTTAGCCTGTGTCAGATGGGGTGTTCTTTCTCCTGAATTAAAAGAACTCCCCGTGAAAGTACTGAGAAGACTTTTGAAGCACCTTTACTTTAAAAATTGAGCTTAGGAAAGTTTTCCATGTGGGCAGCTAGAGGGGCTGGTGGCCTCTCTGTGTTTGGAAGAGGTGGCCCTGGCCCCTGTAGTACACCAACAGTTCCTCGTGGTTCTGGTGCCACATAGGAAGTGCCTGCAGCTGGGCAGCCCCAGGGTAAGCTGGGTGCCTCCATTTTCTGACAGCACCTGAACCCTACCTCACTTCTCAAAATGAAGGCTGTGTGTCACAAACCGGTTAGAACTGGCTGTTGCCATGGTTTTCATGTTGGAAGGCACAGTTAAAGGGTCACATGACGAAGGAGGGAAATGCCTTTGTCACGTGACTTTTTGGTGACTGATTAGCATACAGGAAATTCACTCCCTGCTGGCTGCTGGGATGCTGAGTGATCATTGATGGGGGTGGGGATGACGTCATCTTTTGGATGAGTTATTGATTACTCTCAGGCCAAGATGAGACCTGGGAGTGCTGTGGTCAGAGTAGCCATCTCAGGAAGCTTCAGCCTCCAGATGGTCACGGTCCCTCAGCCTGCCCTCTTCCCTCAGGCAGATTTGAGTTTTGTTAGACTTCTCAACCTTCAGAAAAAGTGCATGCCCTCAGTAAGATGATAAAAAGTAATCACCATCGTCTCCGTGCACTCTTGCTCAGGATATGCCTGCAGTCTGCGGTTCTAGACATGGTTCTGCCTGGGCTGCTGCTCTGTCTGCATGCAGCCACCTGGGAGCTCACCTGGGCTGGGACCAGTGGCTACAGCTCGTGTGCTGGGGCCTTGCACTACCCCTCAATATCTGTGTCTGTATCCAGAAAACCTGGATAGTTGGAGCCCTGAGGTCACCTTGAAAGTTGATCTTAGGCAGAGTGGGCAGTTAGCAGGGAGACATACAGAATGAGTGGTGGTTCCCAAATTGCATTGGTCTTTGGTTTGGTGAGGCCTGAATGTGACATCCTGGGTTACTTTATAAATAGCCAGCTAGTTTCTGGACTCGAGAATGTAGATTAATCACTCCACTGAGGAGACTGTCTATCTTGAAATGGCACCTTTTCGTCCAGGCCCCTGATCTCTTGTGAGAGTTCGACCAACAGCTGCACTGGTTAAATCAAATCAAGGTTAGGAGTATTGAGGTGTAGCCACCATGTGGCTCTTTAGGAGAGATGGAAGAGCCCTGGTTGGGGGGAAAGTTCCAGGGGCAAACATGAACCCTCGGCATTTGGTCCTCGGTACCCATCCTTGCCTAAAGACAGAGCTCATTCCAGGAATGGAAAAGGCAGTTGAGTGGGCTATTAAAACTAGTTCTCCATCTACAACTCTGTCCCTGCTTTGCTGGGGTCTAGTAGGAGGAGTGGGACAACTAGAGCTCTTTCTCCCAGTTAACTTTATCGAGTTTGTTCACTGGGTCACAGTGCCACCTGGTGGGTTTGTTTGGTCCTCTGCTGGTTTTCCTACTGATGAAAAGGATCCTAATTCTTCAACACAAGTGGAGGCCAGGTCTTAAGGGAAAGTTTACATTGGGCCCTCAGCAAACAGCTGCTTGGTTGGGGGCAAAGCACTGTCTCTGGGACCTTGTATGTAGGGTCAGCAACACAGTAGAAGCTCAGCGTCACACACAGGAGCCCTGACAAGGGGCCAAGAAAGACCCTGCCTCAGCCCCAGGATCCTGGTTTTTGTTGTTGTTCTTTTGAGATTTTGTTTATTTTGAGAGCGAGAGACCGCGCCCACATGCATGCCTGTGCAAGCAGTGAGGGGGCAGAGGGAGAGAATCTCCAGCAGGCTCCGCGCTGAGCATGGAGCCCTACACAGGGCTCAGTCTCATCACCCCGAGATCACGACCTGAGCTGAGATCAAGAGTTGGCACTTAACCAACTGAGCCACCCAGGCGCCCCTCAAGCTGAGCATTTTTATTGGACACTGAGCCACATGGTAGAGAAGGGAGCTGCGGTATTTTCCAAAACGGCCATATCACACTTGAACACAGGTGTCCTCAGCCCTGGGTATACAGAGGTGGGCACCAAGAATAGTCCTGGCTAGGGGCCTAGCTGTGGGTTTGGGTGCCTCTTGGTGAGTACAGTGAGAGAAGGCAGTTTGGGTGTATGGTAGGGAGAACGCCCAAAGAGAGAGGCTAGGGAGAGTGAGTGGGGCAGCCATGCTCTCCACCTCCTTGCTGGGACTGTCTAAATCTGGGATCTGTGGTGTGTGCGTGCCAGACCCTGGGGAACAGTGTCTGGCAGAGCGTCTGGGCACTCTGGTAACAACCTGCTTTCCCTGCTCCACAGTGACATGAAGTCTGAGAGAAGAGCCCCCTCTCCTGATGTGATTGTGCTCTCTGACAATGAGCAGCCTGCAAGCCCAAGGGTGAATGGGCTGACAAAGGAGGCCTTGAAGGAGACCAGTACTGAGGCCCTCATGGTGAGCCTTGTCCCCATGTTGGGGGATGACCCTGCCCGACAATATCCCCCAATGGTGTTGGTGATGGTGGGGCCTGTGCTCCCCGGCTGTGGCTCTCCCTTTCAACCCTTGTTCTCTTGCCCTTGCAGAAAAGCAGTCCTGAAGAACGAGAAAGGATGATTAAGCAACTGAAAGAAGAGTTACGATTAGAAGAAGCAAAACTTGTTTTATTAAAAAAGTTGCGGCAGAGTCAAATACAAAAGGAAACTACCGCCCAGAAGGTGTGTGTGTGTCCATTCTCTCCTCAAGAGTCAGCAGGAGCCCGTTAAAACAGGAGACGGAAATCCAAACTTATTACCTTGGCCCACCTCAGTGCCAGGAACAGGAGCAGCTGGTCACAGGCAGACAAGTTTCCTCAGGGGCATAAGGGTCAAGGTCTGAAATGGAAATTTGAATTACAGATTTTGCAAAAAGGAAGTCAGAGTAAGAGGATATTACAGTGCGTTTTGGTTTAGAATATTCTCGATCTGAGTATGTAAAACTTGTAGATTGGAAGCATCAAGAAAACAGATGTCTTAGAAGCTGCTGGAAGTTCTGGGTTAAGAGTTCTTTCCCAAACCCATTTACAGAGAGGCCTCCTGTTCTGTGGGTGGGCCATGCTGGCCATCAGGGGCTACCATGGTTTTGTGGATAGATTCCCTAATGCTGCAGGGGCATGCCGCAGTGCTGCCCAGGCCCCAGAGTCTCTGTCCTGGGGCTCCTCCTCCTATCTCCCCTGGTGTCTGAGGCTCCTTTTGCTGCTTCTAAATGCAGGTTACTGTGTAGACCAAGGTCTGGTCTGTTTTGTTGGGTTTTTTAAAGCTACCCTTCCTTTTACTTTAACCACTATCTCAGTAAACCAGAAAGTAAATGTGTCTTGGGCAGTATGAGCTGACAGAGTATATAGAACACAAGTCTCCTTAAGGGAGCAGGACAGGAGGATACTCATTGGTCTCACTTAGGGCTTTGCTTGAGCTCTCACTTGAACATATGTCAATAAGTGGACATGGCCTGGCATCTATTAATCTCTTAGTGGACAGAGTCTGCCTATTACTTGTTTCCTTTCCAGTTGTTTAAGACTCAGTGGAGTGAACCAAGTTTGTCCTTGTCCCTTACCTAGTGGAATATGTTACTTTAAGAAGTGCCTGGACTTGGTGTTTGTCACCAAGGTTGGGATTAATCTTTTCAGGCCTGGGGTCCTTTGCCTCAGTCACCGTCACTAGCCTTTCACATACCCTGGAAGGCAAAACCTGCTCTTGAACCATAATGTGATGTCAAGCATCCCCAGGGGTGAGGGGTGCTGGAAAATCTCTCCTCTGCCCATTTCAAGCGAGTCAATTCCTGCTACAGACTTTAGCAGGATGGAAGCAGAACCTTAGAGCCTGATGCCTTTGGAAGAGGAAGAAAACCAACCTTCCTCTGTCTGGATTGCGTGTGAGGGGAGTGGGGCTGACGACTCCCTCATCTCTCACATGTCCTGCTCTCTTACAGCCCACAGGCTCTGCTGGGAGTGCCGTGACCACCCCTCCCCCGCTTGTGCGGGGCACCCAGAACATTCCTTCTGGCAAGCCATCCCTTCAGGTCAGTGTTCCCTCTGTGTTAGGCTCCTGAGCAGTCCTGATCCAGTTCCTGTGAAAGGCTGCCCATTCCATATGATTAGATTGGAGTGAGGGCCAAACTTACTTAGGCCACTGTTGACATCATGAACAAATCATGCCAGTGCTGAGAGGTTTCCTCCTTTGACTGCTCCTAGCAAAATCGGAGAGAGAACCAAGATTTAGGCAGGCCAGGTTCCTTTCATTTCGACACTCCCAAGTTTGTGGGACCCAGCAGGACCTCCTACCCACAGGATGAGATGGGCAGAGCTCCCACTCCCAGACACAAGACTAAGGTCTGAACAGGGGCCCACCTTCCCTCAAACAAGCCTGTGCCCTCACCTCAGACCAGCAAGAAAGTGGCACCCAGCCCGGGTTAGCTGGACTTCTGCTGTGGTAGGGGTCGTGTGGGTGAAAATGTGCTACCTTGTTGGTGCAATTCACTCCTGAGTGAGTCCAGTCTGCATGGCTATTGTTGTAATCCATGTTCTTTGTTCTTTTGTGCTTAGAGTAAATAGACATTTTAGTGCCCCCCCCCTTTAAACAAGTATGTACTTTACAAAACAGCAAACCTGTTTGTTTAAAAAAAAAAAAAAAGCCATTTAAAATCTGGGGTTTGGTGCTGTTGACAGACCTCTTCAACAAGAATGCCTGGCAGTGTCATCCCACCACCCCTGGTCCGCGGCGGGCAGCAGGTGTCCTCAAAGCTGGGGCCACAGGCGAGCTCACAGGTCGTCATGCCCCCACTTGTCAGGGGGGCTCAGGTGAGCAGGGTATGCTTGTGGGGTGTTAGAATGTGTCCAGGCTACTCCAACCAGCCACCTCACAAAGAACCCTTCCTGCTCATCAGGTTGGGGATTATGGGGCCCACCCCTTCCCTCCTTCCATTGTTCCTCTCATCATCTTTTTACTTATTTTATTTCATTTTTTTTTTTTAATTTTTTTTAGAATGGAAGAGAGAGTGTGTGTGGGGGGAGGTATCCATACAGTGGAATGTTATTCAGCCTTAAAACTGTTTGTTTTTTGGGGTTTTGTTTTGTTTGTTTGTTTGTTTGTTTTTGAGAGAGAGTGCAGTGGGGGGACAGATGGAGAGAGAGAGAAAATCCTAAAGCTCCATGCCCAGTGTAAAGCCCGACGTGGGGCTCAGTCTTACGACTCTGATATCATCACCTGAGCCGAAATCAAGAGTTGGGCGCTTACCCAACTGAGCCACCCAGGCGCCTCATCCCTCTCACCATCTTGTCCCCTGTCCCACCCCACAGCAAATCCACAACATCAGACAACATTCCAGCACGGGGCCGCCGCCGCTCCTCTTGGCTCCCCGGGCATCTGTGCCCAGTGTGCAAATTCAGGGACAGAGGATCATCCAGCAGGGCCTCATCCGCGTCGCCAACGTCCCCAACACCAGTCTGCTTGTCAACATCCCACAGGTGAGGGCTGTGCTGACGTAATCTAACCCCACCCCCGACCCACACACACATCAAGGGTGCCCAGTCCTAAGGCATAGTCAGGTCTCCAGAGTGGTATGGTGTGACCTGCCTGCTCCCTCAGAGCCAGGCAAGGCCTTGGGTGCCCCATGGGGGTTTGGACTGGAGCTCCTCCGGGCCTGTCGCGGTATAAAAGTCATGGGCTGGAGTCCTATGTTAAGAACTGTGGTCTAGCAGAGGTGGATAGGTATTGAGAAGGGGAGAGGTACAGACCTGAGCTGAGGGTTGGGGGGAGGCTTCAGGTGGCGTGTGGGACCCAGCATGTTTTGGAGGATGGATGAGGCCTGGAGATTGCTGGGATGGGGGAGTGGGGCACCAGAGCCTTCCCTACCCTCCTCCCTGTCCATGAGCACATGAAGGGAGCATGTCTGCAAATGTCCTCACAGCACCACCACATCTATTCTTAGCCATGAATCCTTTCACCTCTGTACAGAGCCTCTGAGATGGGGTGGGTCTGTTCCCACCCAGCAGAGGCAGGAAGATGGGACTGGGTGAGTGGCCAGGCTAGAAGCAAGAGCTTTATTGACAGATAAAATTATTGGGTCTGCAGGGGCTTTTGCTGATGGGTGTATTAGCTTCTCTTATTCCTCTGGCATGGTACATTTTTGTCTGCCTCCCTCAGATAAGAGCCTGACCAGCAGGGTTCTCAGCAGCATCCCTGCCTTCTAAAGTCAGGCCAGGCCAAGGTACTGTGATGGCTGGTGTCCTCTATGTTGGGAGGCCTGTTCAGCTCTGGAGACCCTCTGTGAGGATGGGGGTCCTAGGAAACCATTCTGGGCTCCCTGAGTCCTATGATGTGTTGTGTACAAGTTGTCAGGTGTGTGTGTTTTCCTGGGGGTGGCATATGCTACTTTCCTTAGATTTTCAGAAGGGTCCTCAACCCTACAAAAGTGCACTGGTGGGGTCAGCTCTGGGTTTTGGGGAAAGCACTTGACAGGGTTGGGGGCTGGGTGAACTAGAGCAAGGAGACAATGGAGCATTGGCCACTGGGGTCCAGATGAAGACAAGAAAGTAGTATAGGAGCACCAAAAATCAGGGGAGAAGGGGCGGACAGGAGTTGGTCCAAAAGCTGTTCGCCCCTATAACCCCAATGAGGACACATGAGGTAAGTAAAACGTTAGAGTCTCCAGACAACCACATACAAAGGTGCTCATGAAGGAAATGCCACCAGTGCTGTAGTGATCTGCTGTCATACCCCTGTGAAGAAGGCAGCCATCTAGACCTGTGCTGGGAGGAAGGCTGCTAGGCCATAGTGATGGGACAGTGGCCAGGGTGCCTGAGCGGGGTTGCCCACTGCCCTGATCGTGGTAATGGCTATGGCTTCAGAGGTGTCCTCATGTGACAAAACACAGAATACAGATTGTAAATTTGTGTAGTTGTTGGATATTAGCTAAACCTCAACAAGTATGTTTTACAAGATTGGTCATTTCATACGGTGATGAGTTTAATGTTGCTTTGCCTGTTGGCTTGCTGATGTCAGGCAGCTCAGAGTTACTACCTTAAAGACTCATTAGTGCAGCCAACAGTGCCATCGTGGACTGGGATCAGGCACCCCCAGCACCCTGACCAGGTTGTTATCTCCCAAAAGCCTTCCCCAGCGTCGCTGAAAGGGACGACAGCCACCTCTGCTCAGGCCAACTCCACCCCCACCAGCGTGGCCTCTGTGGTCACTTCTGCTGATTCTCCAGCCAGCCGTCAGGCAGCTGCCAAGCTTGCGCTGCGCAAACAGCTGGAGAAGACGCTGCTTGAAATCCCCCCTCCCAAGCCCCCTGCCCCGGAGATGAACTTCCTACCAAGCGCTGCCAACAACGAATTCATCTACCTGGTTGGCCTGGAGGAAGTGGTGCAGAACCTGCTAGAGACCCAAGGTGAGTGGCCTTGGGGCCATTTTCATCTCTTGCCACTGAAGTTTCTCTTACATAGGTTATTTTCAATGCCTGCTGCATGATGAGAGCTGTCTGGGGTGGAGCATCTTATGGATGACCTTTTGTTATTAGTCCTGCTTTCTGTGAGGCTTAACTTTTTGCTTATTTGTTTTAGTTTTTACATTCATTCATTCATTGAGAGCACAAGCGTTTGTGAGAAGTGGAAGTGGCAGTGGCCGGGGACCGGGGGGGGGGGGGGGGGGGGGCGGGCAGGAGGGGGCAGATCTTAAGCAGACTTAATGCTCTGAGCATACCCAACACTGGGCTCAGTCTCATGATCCTGAGATCATGATCTGAACCAGAATCAAGAGTTGTACACTTAACACTTAAGCAACTGAGCCACCCAGGTGCCCCATTAGTTTTTACATTTTTTAAAATATTTATTATTGGAGTATAGTCGCCATATGTTGTTACATTAGTTTCAGGTGTATGATATAGTGATTTAACAATTTTATAGGTCATTAAGTGTTCACCACAATAAATGTGGTCCCCATCTATCACCTTAGATAACTTCTTAAACATATCACAGTCACCTTTCTTCTTTTGTTGGGGCCTCTTCTGAGAGCTGGGCCCTGGGGAAGCCCAAGGCCCTGCACACATGATCTGAGGGGGTTGCTGCTCTCTAACATCGGGGCAGGCAGAGAGGGATGAGAAGGAACGTTTGCAGGAGGCTGACAGGCTTTGCTTCCAGATGGGTCTCTCCAGCTAGAACTTCCCAGAGCCTTGAGTACTCTGAGCCCTGAAGGTATGAAAGGGACACCCATGCCTGGACCAGACTCATTTTATCACCCTCCTTGGTAACAGTTTGGAAAGCACGACTTGCACGTTAGGAGGTTTTAGGGATAAAAAGGGCATATATAGGGTCGCGATCAAAAGTAACACTGGAAATGGAGGTGGGAAGCCAGGTTGAGGGGCCTCCACCAGACGATTTGAAGATGTTTCTGCTCTGAGATTGAGTTTGTGGTGATATTATTTGGGCAGCCAGCCTGAATCCTCTCCCTGCATGATCTCAGCAGATGCTCAGAGCTGAGGAGGAGGTGGAGCTGTAACTGGTCCAGGGCAAGGGAGGGCCTGGTAGGCTTCAGACCACATACCTCGAATTGTCCCTTGGTACATGCCAACCCCTCCCAGGGCTGCTCTTACCAGCACAGACTTGGGAGTGACAGTAATGGCGCCTGTACAGAGGAAAAGCACCCTCTGCCTGCTTGGTGTCAGGGTGTTAGAGGGAGTGCTCTCTTCCCCCTCTTTAGTCAATATATCACAGAGTATATATCATATCCTTGGATGTTGTATCCAGTTCCTCTTAGAGGTAGAGCCCTCCATACCTGGTTGGGGGCCAGACCCCGGGCAGAGGATGCCCAGCTGGTCACCTCAAATTTACTTATAGCTTCCTTACTGTACCCCACCCACCCACCCATCCAACCCCATTGCTCTTAAAAATACTCGCCAACCGCAGGGCCATATCAAGGACTGACCATGGGTCAGGCTGAGAGTGGGAGGCCACATAGGACCAATATTGACCTCTGTAAAATTGGCCATGGTGGCTTCCACTTGTCAGGGGGCCAGGCCCAGGAGGGAAGGGTATGAGCTCTCACATGGCTTGGATGTGTCTGGATCCTTTTGGTGTCTTTATGATGGAGTGATATTGGCAAAAGAGCTGCCATGAGGCCAGTGCAGGATGGGTGGGTGGTGGGAGGCCCGTCAGGACACAGTGCCCACCCATCTGTACCTGGGTGCCCTGGGCATCTCCTCTTCCCAATCAGCCTGTCTCGATCAGGAGTCAGTATCCCTCTCGTATTGCCCAAAACAGGACCTAACTGTGGGAGGAAGCTCTGAGCCCCTTTTGAGGTGTCCCTTGATACCTCCCAGAGCCCCAGGCTGGGTGACTAAGTGCAGCCTCGTACCAGGGTCTCCACTCTGATGTTGGTCCTGCCTACTACAGGGGCCTAGAAAGAGGTACTGTGTCTTCTAGGGTTGGACGTTTGGAAGGTTATGTGCTCTTTTCACCAGGGCATGTTAGCTGTAGGTGAGGGCCTGGAGCTGGGGGCCTGGGGTGAGGGACTCCCCCAGTCCGATCCTGTACAGCCAGCCCCTCAGCATTCAGGGGCAGCTTGGGCAGCCCCAGGGCTGGAGAGAGAGGCCAAGGGTCTCTTGGCAGCAGTGTCTCTGATATTAAGAGGAAGTTAAACCCTTGAATACTCTAGACACAAAAAAGATAGTTACAAAATGCAAAAAGTGCCCCTTACTTCACTCTCCTTTTTTTTTAAGATTTTATTTACTTATTTATTTTAGAGAAAGGGTGTGAGAATGAGTGAGCAGGAGGAGGAGTAGAGGGAGAGGGACAAGCAGACTCCGCCCTGAGTGTAGAGCCCAATGCAGGGCTCAATCTGACAACCCCAAGATCATGACCTGAGCCGAAATCAAGAGTCGGACGCTTAACTGACCGGGCCGCCCAGGCACCCCCTCCTTACTTCACTTTCAATGACAAAAAGAATATTGATCCCATGCCTGAGCATGTACTTTAGTTGGCTTCCCCAGTCACCCTTCCTATGGCCAACTGAGGGGATGCAGTGTTCCCATTTCTCAGACAAGGGGGCCAAGGACCCAGAGCAGTTATGTGCCCTCATCTGGGCAGCACATGTGAGTCCTGGCCCTGCCACGACTGGCATGTGACTCTGCAAGTCACTTCATCTCCTCAGCCTTGGTTTCCTCCTCAAGATAACAGGGTGGGGTGCCCTGTTAGGAGGTTATTGTGAGAATCGAACACCTTTGTATGCACAAGACACTGGGTATGACACTTGTCAGCAGGAGCACTTGCTGGATAATTCAGTCCTTAGTTGACTCGCCCACTAGCAAGGATGCCTATCACAGTGAGGTGGGACCTGGAGGGTTACTTCCTCTTCACTGTGAGGAGGTGTGGGAGGGTAGGAAAGGCAGTCGGGAGGAGCCAATCTGAGATACTTTTGTTCTTTTTAAGATTTTATTTATTTATTTGAGAAAGAGACTCCCCTGCTGAGCGGGGAGGCCGACCTGGGGCTTGATCCCAGGACCCTGGGATCATGACCTGAGCTGAAGGCAGACACCTAGCCAACTGAGAAGCCCAGGCACACTAGAGAGCACTAAGGTTCTTGAGAGTTGGTACCCAGTGCACCTAATCCATGGCATTTCCCAAAGCTGCTTACCTTCTATCAGCAAACCTTTCCCAAAGCCCAAGGCTGGCCTAGTGTCCACACACAGTTGGCACCAATACATGTGTGCCAAACAATGTCTTAGAATTTGGCTTCCTGATGCCAGCTGGGCCGTATAATCCAGGGCAATGCTCCAGATCTGTCACATATCCTCATCCTGTCCTGGGATGGTAGGGGCTCTGACTCTGGGGCATCCTATTCCTATGACATGAGTCCACCTACCTCTCCCTGCAGCGGGCAGGATGTCGGCCGCTGCTGTTCTGTCCCGGGAGCCCTACATGTGTGCGCAGTGCAAGACGGACTTCACGTGCCGTTGGCGGGAGGAGAAGGGTGGTGCCATCATGTGCGAGAACTGCATGGCATCCAACCAGAAGAAGGCACTCAAGGTAGAGCACACGAGCCGGCTGAAGGCTGCTTTTGTGAAGGCTCTGCAGCAAGAGCAGGAGATTGAGCAGCGCCTCCTGCAACAGGGTGCCGCCCCCGCACAGGCCAAGGCTGAGCCTGCCACTGCCCCACACCCCGCGCTAAAGCAGGTGAGAGTCCTTGGGGAGCCAAAGCTGTGGCCCTGTGGCCTGGGAACGTGGGCTGGGCGGCCTCACCTTCTAGGAGAGGGGGCCTTGTTCCGTTGGCAGGGAGTTGTTGCTAGCAAGCAAGATGTTCTGACGTTCTGTCCCACACTGGGCAGTCATCTGCCTGGTTGTTAACTGTGTGTCTAAATTGCATTTAATGGTGGCCTTTGGTGGTGAAAATACTAATTTGCAGTTTCTTTAGATTTTGTAGCTTTCACGTGCAGTGTTCCGGCTGACAAGTACTTCTTGTCTAAAAGGACTTTTCTGAAAGCCACATTGAGATGCAAAAGGGGCATTTGGAAGAAATGTTCTAGCTAAATTGAGAGAAGCAAGTTTGAAATCAAGTTTTTTGGCTGCTTTTTTTAATGCTTTGCTTTCCCACCCCATGTAGACCCAAAGCACCCCGTTGGCAATTTTTTGTGTCCTCGGAAGTCATTTGTAATTCACTAATAAACACATCTTCTCAAGATCCTTATATAGTGGGGGGCTGTACTGCCCTCGGGAAGCGGCCCATCCCGTGGGGACTAGGCCTCGTGTGGCCACAGCTGCTGCCCTTTGGTCACTCTAGGTCACCCTACGCCGTCTGTGGATGGTGCTGACGTCGATTTCAACCCCTCCCCCCCCATTTGTATAGGTCATAAAACCCCGGCGTAAGTTGGCGTTCCGCTCAGGAGAGGCCCGCGACTGGAGTAACGGGGCTGTGCTACAGGTCAGAACTGCGGTGCCGGGAGCCCCTGCACCGCACCACCAACCAGCCCTCACGCCCCAGACCGTGACCACGTCAGTCGCCGACTGTCACGCTGCCTGTGTCTATCTGTCTCTCTCTCTCTCTCTCTCCCTCCCTCCTTCCCCTCCCCCCTTGGTGTAACTTACCTGGTCTCCTGATTTTGGACTTTAGGGACCCTGTGTGGGTGGGAAGAGGTCGGCCAGAGCACGGAGAGGCTGCGCTGAGCGTCTCGCCCTCTGTCACCCCCTTCCCCACATGAGCCATCACACCCTCTCTCCACTGTAGGCCTCCAGCCAGCTGTCCCGGGGCTCGGCCACAACGCCCCGTGGTGTCCTGCACACGTTCAGCCAGTCACCCAAACTGCAGAATACAGCCTCAGCCACAGCCCTTGTCAGCAGGACCGGCAGACATTCCGAGAGAGCTGTGAGCACCGGCAAGGGCAACGCCTCCACCAACTGGAAGAAGGCACCCCTGAGTACAGGTGAGCCGCCCCCACATGGTGAGGTCTATCCCTTCCTTGCTTTTATCTAGGACTTGCACACATACAAGTGAACAGAAATGGTGCATAGAGTCCTGAAACCCCAGACCTGTTCCCTGAGAGCAGCTGCTTTTGACTCTTCAGCTTGATCTCTGTTCACCAAATAGGATACTCCGAACAAGTGGTAGCCTTGGGTAGATACTAATTTCCATCCTTTGTACGCTCTGTACCCACACTCTTAGCTCTTGACCCAAAATGTTAGGCAAACCCAGTTTAGGTGTAGTCTCTCTCTGTCCCTCTCCCCCCCCCCCCCACACACACACATACACAATCCAGTAGACACCTGTCAGCACAGACACTTATCTTGCCAATTCTGGGCACCCCCCACCCCTTCCTGTCATAGGGAACACCTGTTTTGCTGTTATGTTGTACCTTTTTCTGGTGCACTAACTTAATTTCTTGTTCACCCAGATAGTGTTCTTCATTCCCTGCTCTGTGGGACACTCTTCCCACCCTCTGACTTAGGTCAGGTAGTGCAAAGTGTAAACCAGGAACAAGACGGTGGGGAGGTGGATAAGGGTAAGATCCCTGAGGCAGGGGCTAAGATTTTAACTAGGGTGGGTGGCAGAGGATTCTGAGAAAATCACATTTGAGGAACAACTCAGCAGAGGGGGATACCCTCAGGTGAGCGTTCCCTAGTCTGCCACAGTCCCATCATCCCTGGGTCGATGCCCACACCACTTTCCCTGTTTTTAATTATTTATGTGCCGGCATTAAGGTAATAGTTAAATATTTGTTTCCATCAAAAACAGGAAAGTGAAAGGTAGGCACAAAGGGCTGAGAGAAGGAGACAGGTGAGCACTTTCACTATGGGAGCCAGTGCCCCTCCCTGCCCCCCCACCCAAGTTTGCTGTATCCCTGTAGAAAAAAGGAGGTGACATCATAAGAGTCCTCTCCCTAGGCAGAACTGGGAAAGCCAGGCTGGCTGTGCAAACAAAACACGGGAGTCAGCCGTGTGTGCAGCTGACCATAGAGTTAGAAATGTGGCCAAGAATCAGAGCCTTCCACCGGGTGAAGCTCAGGAGAGGGAGTACATTTTGCTGTTTGCAAAAGAATCTGAGTAGCCTAGAGAGCATTTGTAAATGTAAGCAGGCAGAGAGGCTTTTGTGCAGCATGTGTAAGATGCAGCTAAGAATTCATAGCTGTTTGAAGATTGCTTTTATGGGAAATTTGGAAGTATACAAAATCAGATACAGGTGTGTGCATGTGTACACAGTGGTAGCAGACGTGAAAATCTTGCGTTAAAGTCTTTGAAAGGGAATATGAAGGAATAAGTAGTTGCTATGTTCAGCAGTAGAACTAGAGGTAAATGTGTAGTAGCTTAAAAGCAGCATTTCCCAAGAGTTCTACCAGCACTCCAGGTTACCCTTGGTTTCTGGGCAGGACCCAGTCAGGTTTCTCTTTAGTATGTAGAGAGGTTTCCCTATTGCATTTGACCTCAGAACACTTGTTCCACAAAATGTAGTAACCTCCACCAAAAATACTCTTGGGGGGTAACATGGTGATGGGGGCAGGGGACAGGGCAGTCCTTACCCCCATGCCAGCCAAATATCTGTATGTGTTGGAGATTGGGGGGTCATTTGTTCATTTTCCACTTGTAAAAGAGATGCTTGCTCACTGGGGAAATTTGGGGAATACAAAAAGAAGAGAATGGTGTTTCTATTCCAGGAGAACAAATGCTATACTTCGGGGCTTTTCCTCCATTCTGCCTCTTCGCTGCTGTGTCCCTCGTGTGTAACTAACTTGAGTGCCCTGCCTCCAGAGGCATCATGCTCTGTCACCATTCCGTGTCCCTCTTAATGTTTTCATGAGAGAATATTACCATACCATTAAAAACCCTGTCACTCTGTTCTTTTGCAGGCGGGGCCCTTGCGTTTGTCAGCCCGAGCTTGGCAGTGCACAAGACCTCCTCAGCTGTGGACCGCCAGCGGGAGTACCTCCTGGACATGATCCCGCCACGCTCCATCCCCCAGTCAGCCACGTGGAAATAGTGCGAGCCGGGCCCAGTGGAGAACAGGCTCCCTCCTCCCTCCCACCTGGCCCTGCCACCCTCCACTCGGGAAGACCTCATACTCCCTGAGAAACGAGTGAGCGAGCGCTGCCTGCGCTGCCGAAGCAAGGGCTCCGTTCTTGGCTGCAAAGTCTCGTCGCAGCTGAGGGGCTGCTTCACAGGTGGACGAGGATTATCACTGAGGGACCTTTCCCTTGGGCTTTTTTCCTTTCTTTGCCTTTAGTTTGCCCAACACCAGCAGAAAAGTGGACCTCGGGGGCTGGTTCTGCTTCCGGCCCTTCCTTTCAGCCCCCTCTGCCCCCCATTCCACACCTCTCCCCCCCCACCCCCGGCAGGGTGCACGGACGGCTCACCCTGGACACTGTGACACGCTCGGCAAGACCGGCGCCCGGGGCTTCTGAAGTCGAGCGGAGCGTTCTGTTTTGTTTTTGCTTTTCCCCATCTTAGCCTCCCAATCTTTGACTGCCTTCCTTCATGGCAATGTTTAGGTTGACAGATTTTTTTTTAATCACCTCATGATGATGGAGTTTAAAGTAAACCGTGCAGACCCAGGGGTCCCTGCTGAGCACGGCCCCCACACCCCAGAGGGTGGGCCACTGACTGCCCAGCCCTCACTCTAGCGGAAGGCCTCTGCTGCTGCTCATCCTGGAGACCCCGGACCTCCCACACTTAGCAGAAGAACAAACTGCAACCCAGACCCCAGCCAGAGAGCCTGGGATCCCAGAAGCCACGCACCGCCAGTAGAGGAGGGAGCAGAGAATTGGCAGCAACATCCAGAGCCTGAGTGGGAAGTTGGAGGGGCGGGCTATTGTGTTTTTTTGTTGTTGTGGTTTTATTTTATTAAATTTTTCCTTTTCTTTTCCTACTTATTTTGATGGACACCATCCTAAGCTGCCCTGGCCTATACTCCTGTCAGGTGTGTCTGGTGGGGAGGTGCCCCTGCCCCTCCAAGACTTCAGGGTTTCCGTTTGGGTCTAGTTTAGAACCTTCCCTTAAAACAGGGCCATGCTGCCAGGGTCGCCTTCAGACTGTTTTTTTGTTTTTGTTTTTAACCCTTTTTCGAGTCTACAGAAATGTCTTATACAAAGGATCAGGTCTGCTCTTAGTTGTTTCATTTTGGTTTCTCCCACTCCTTAAAAATCGGTTCCATGAGGATAGGCAGAAGCTGTCGTGAGTGTGCTGTGCACGAGGCTGTCTCCTTGCAGGTGCGAGGGCGTCCTGTGTGCACACACACATGTTTGTCGATGTGGAGATGGGGTACGCTGCTCCCCACTTCAGCCCCAGCCCTAGTTTTCCTATCCATGCAGTTAGGGACTTAATTTAAAATCCTTATTTTGTAGGGCCGCCTTCTTCAAAACACACTGCTACAACATTCTAATAAAGGCTCATTTAACCCCCTCTCTCATGTGTGAATATCCATGTTTAGCAACATTTTGACCCGCGGTAGAAGACCTAGTTTTGCAACATTCTAATTTTTTGTTGTGTAAAACCCTGTATTTCTCATTGATTTTTGTTTTGAGTGCATAACTTAGATGGGCTGAAGGAGGGGAGGGCAGGGAAGGGTGGCTTTCATTCCAAGATCCAGGAATTTGGGGGAAAGGAGGGAAATTGACATGGGGGGTGTTTTTACACCAAAAAAATCAAGAGTATGCAAGCATTTCTATTTCTCACATTTTTCTGTGTGCCTGGCAAATAAATACTTGTCTTATACTACCCTGAGCTGTTAGCCCTCTCTGTTCAATGACATGGGCCAGATTTTCCAAATCCTTCAAGAAGGAGCACCTGGGCTGGCCAGTTCCATGGGCAAACAGACCTCAGTTCTATGCAGTAACTCGGGATCAGGTGTCCAGGCGAGAGTCACCTCTGCACTGGAGGGGTGTGACAGGATTGTCATGCCCCAGCTGGGGTTGAATGGGTCTGTGACTCATGGGCCCAAGCTGAACTGTGCTGTATAGGTTGGCCCTCAACCCCAGCCCATTAGAACCTCGCTCATCACTGTGCTCAGGAACCACCTCTACTCACCTTGCCTGGCTAGACTTCTACTGGCCTCTGAGCTGTTAAGTGGGCTTCATGAATTCAGTACAAACCCAACCGCCACGGGTGGAGGATGGGGCTACCGGCCCTGGCCCTGGCTGTGCCGCCTCCAGCCCAGGGTCCCTGGGAATAATCCCATCAGGGGCCACTTACTGTGACATGTAACTTTTTTTAAAGGAGACGTGAGATGCCTTAATCTTCTGTTCATTTCTACTGTATCAAAACTCTTACCCCCCTCTTTTCTTTTGTTTCCCCCTTTGCAGTATAACTTCTCTGATAAGCCCCAAATGAGTAGTTCTTTGATGAGGTTTATGATGTTGCAGGAAAGGCATATTAAATACCTCTCTGCATGTGGGGTTTGGACATACTAGGAAAGGGATAGTAATGTTAAGAGTGTTCTCCCAGCAGCAAAGCCTGCCAAAATTGGTCACAGTGCTGGGGTCCTCGTCTCCCCCACCCCCACCCCAGGAGCCTCAGGACTGAAAGGACCTGGTTCCTAGGAGCAGTGAGAATGTGGGAGCCCCCAGTCCCAAATGATGATGATGGTCGCAAGTTATCTGTGGCATGAACTCTGAACGGCAACTGGAAAGTGTTCAAGATGCTAGCCACTCAAGGGTGAAGGGTTGCATGTTTGAAATGGCCATATGTGTATACATGCATGTACACATAGATACATGTGTGTCCACTTGGAGCCTCCCATTGCTCTGGCCATCCTACCCATGTCACTGGGTCCCCAGTGTCCCAACTGTGATGTTGGGACCCACACCTTTGATAAGGCCAACAGTTGCCCTCCTCCTGGGGGTAGCCTCTGCTCCTGTGTGTACCCTAAGACCTTCACAGAGCAAAACTTGGTACCAGTGCAGAGGGAATGAAAGACACCTGAGTACAGCCCTGCTGTGTGTTGTGGTTCCTGTGTCCCACGTGTCATTTTCCTGTGGACAGAAAGACATGGGGAGGAGTTTTCTATATAAACATTCTCATCACAGGGGTGTAAATCATGGAAAAGGCCGGCGTTGCTGCTGCACCATAGAGTTTTTATTTGATGCCGAGTTATGCTGCACATTATGGTTGCCTAAAGAACTTGGACTGAGCTTTTTTTAAAAAAAAGGACAGCTAAAGTTTTATAATCCTTAACAATGAAAGTGTAATAGACAGTTACACTAGTTCAGGGTATTTGGAAGGTGGGGGTTTGGGGGATGGGTGGGTGGGGAGGTTGTCACTTGTATTTATTGTGACGCTAAATCTTTGATAATAAATGTAAAAGATTGACCACCAAACCGGAATAGAAGTTCCAATAAACAGAGGCTGGAATCAATGGCTATGCTTGTGTCACGAGGAAGTTTTAGAATCTGACGGAAAATAAAGAAATGGACAAAGTCTTGGCTGTATTTTTCTTTTGTCCCCTCGGCCCTGGTTTCCCTGCATTACTGGGGAAGGTGTAGCAGGGTGACCCCTTGTTAATGGGGAAACAGTGAGACACCTGCTTCTTGGGCTTCTTTCGGACTTCACTTCCAAAAGTGGGTGGAGTACCTCCCCAAACTGGGCACTGTGGCTTTGCTTCTGGGCCTCCCATCTTTACCAGAACCTGTGGCTTTGTGGCCTACTTATCCACAGCTGAGAGAGTGAGGTGAGAAGCCAGTGGGTTTTGCCCATCCACTAGATCTTAACCCCTTCCAGCCTCCACCCCGGAGTGGTAAGTTTTTCTGGGCCAATTTTCAGACCTGGCATCTGCATTGGGTGTCCTTGCTACAGGAGGTATTACAGATGCAGGTTCTAGCACAGATGGATTATGCCCTGCCAGCTCTGAAATGAACAATTTCTGGTGAAAATTTGTTTTCAGATGTTGATACACTGTTTCAAAAGTTGTTCATAAAGTGGGACCTGTGCTCACTGGTGAATTTTTAAGATTTTTTTTAAAGATTTCTTTTAGAGCAAGAGTGCGAGTGGGGGAGGAGCAGAGGGGGAGAGACTCTTCAAGCAGTCTCCCAGTGCAGGGCTCCATCTCAGGACCCTGCGATCACAGCCTGAGCCAAAACCAAGAGTCATATGCTCAACCGACTGAGCCGACCAGTTGCCCCACTGACTGGTGAATTCTAATGTGCCTACAATACGACCCTGTTTTCCTAGGTGCTTTTATTATTTTCATTTATTTTTATTTTTTGCAGTTTCTCGTCTTTTTTGTTAAGACATTCCTGCCTCCAACCTGGGGGTAGATGGTCCTCTCCAACCACCACACCTAGCTAGGTTTAACATGGGCAAGGCACCGGACTGATAGAAGACATTACAGAAATTAACCCAAACCTGCCCCAGTCTACCTGTGATACATCCTGACCGGTGCCCCTATGCCCCAACACTGGCTGTGAGAAGCACACTTATGGGGCTCTCCGGGGCCCCAAATTCAGCCCTCAAGTGAGTTTTCACTGGGTTAGGCACAGGCTCCTCAACTGACCCACTGACTCAACAGGGGTGAGTTTCAAGCAGCTTCTCCAGCCAACAAATGGGACAACTGCCCCAATCCCTGAGGTCTTGTCCCCTCCGAACTGATCCACAGGTCTGTGGCCATGGGGTAGGAAGAGACCCAGGCCCCATTGCTCACACAGTTTAATCTATGGATAGAAAAAGGCACATACCATACCCAAGGCACTAGGATTCCTTGAACAAGGGCAAGGAAGAAAAGAACGGAGTGTCAGGGGCGCCTGGGTGGCTCAGATGGTTAAGCGTCTGCCTTCGGCTCATGGGATCAAGTCCCGCATCGGGCTCCCTGCTCCTTGGGAGCCTGCTTCTCCCTCTGCTTCTCTCTCTCTCTCTCTCTCTCTCTCTATCCCTCTGTCTCTCATGAATGAATAAATAAAATCTTAAAAAAAAAAAAAAGAACGGAGTGTCAGGGAAGAGGTGACTTAAACCAAATCTGGAATGAAGAAAGGGGGAAAGTGGTTCAGGGAATGGCAACAGCCAGTGCAAAGGCTCAGAGGTGAGACCAAACCTGGAGGGTCAAGGACAAGGCAGGCAGTGTGCCTGGGCCACAGGAAAAAGGGGTGAGGATGTGGGTTTCATTCTGAGTATAGTGGGAGCCTCAGGAAGGCTCAGGGTGTGGTCTTTCAATGGGCCACACAGCCCTTCCCTACAACCTGGAGGAAAGGTTCCTACCTCCATTTTCCAGGTGCAGAGCCCAAGGATGGTCCAGACCAGAAGAGGTGCCCTCCTTAGTGTAAACCAGAGGGGTTGGGTTTTCTTTCTCAGCTCAGATTGTGAACCAGCCAGGACTGGAGGCAAGGCACTTCCCCGCTCTTAGCCTCGGTTTCCTCATCTGCCTATTTGAAGGGGGTTAGGGAAGAGTTGGCACTTAATCCCCAGGGCACCTGAGAACACAAAGCTTGAGTGAGCAGGAGCAGGGAATGGTCAGACCCACAAAATGACCAGCCTCCTTGGGGACTGTGTGGGGCTTGGAGGCAGGTAGGATTAGGGCTTAGGGAGACATCTTCCATGCACCCCAAATGAGAGACAGCCGCTGTCACCAAACCCACTAACCTCATTGCAACAAAATAATCCCCAATCTCTCCCAGGCCCTGTGGGGTCCCCTCTCCAGACATACACTTTTACCTCTCCGCATCTTCTCCCTCCCTCTCCATTCTAGCCATAGGACTTTTGTGGCATTCCCCAGAGACACCAGCTTCAATGTATCTTGGGAACACTCAGAACACGTTCCTTCTGTTGTTTCCAGTGGCTGAGTCCATCAGGGTTAAGCTCAAATGTCTGCTTCGGTCCTTCCTTGGTCACCTGCCCCTCCCCTCACCCAGCATTTAGCACAAGTTACAATTATTTTCTTTCCATGCTATTCGTTTTTACTTGACTTTTCACTTGCCTCCTCGCTGAGGGCAGGGATGGATCCAAACCTCTTTGTGGAGTCCCAGAGCTTGGCACACAGTAGGCGTTCAATAAATGCATGAATGAAGAGACGACTGAAGTAACCAGCTTGCCCAGCAGATTCATGCCTCACTCTTGACTCTCCCCCGCCCCAGACAACTTCTTTACCAAGGAAGGGCCCTTACTAAAGAGCTTCCACCACCTCCCCACCCCACTCCAGCCATATCCAGTTTCAAATTCCAGATGTGTTATTGGGCAAGTGTCATTTGTGTGGGCCTCAATTTCCTCATCTATAAACCCTGTTTCTGTTGAGACAGGCGCCCCCCCCCCCCCCCCCCGCTGAATCCTTAAACACGGTGAGGGTGCTGGGATCCTTGCTCCCCAGCCCCGCATCTCTATTGCCAGGGCCATCGCGACCCCAGCACGACCTTTCGAGTTCTCTTGAGGCTGGAGAGCCCGAAAGTCCGGTTTGAATCCTCCCAATTCCCTTTCGAGACCTAGAGCTAGAACCTCAACAAGCCTTTCTCTTCAATGGGGCGCCACGCCTGCCTTCCCCAGGGGGACAACCTCCCACCCCTACTTGGTAAAAGGGGGCCATTGCTAGAGGCAGGTGCGAGGAAGAGCGAGTTTATTGCAAGTTCCAAGGAGGCAGCGCCCGGAGTGTGCCTTCCCCCACCAGCCTGCGTGGCTGCCTAGAGAAGGACGCCCTCCACACGCGTCCACTCGCTGGCAGCTCCTCCAGGTAGCCAACGCCTGCCCGCAGCCATCGCTCATTCCGCGCTGGCGCAATGCTTCCATTTCTTCTCGTCCCTTCCCCTCCCGAGGCCTTCTCTTGGGAAACAGAGGAAGCGCTTGCGCCCTCCTGCTCTCGGGATCGTAGGGAGAGGAGTTAGATTCTAAACAGGGCGACTACCGCCCCGGACGTCCAGAGACCGGAAAAAGGGGGAAGTGTGCGTGCGCAGTGGCGCGTGTCGGCTTCGCAGGGGTACCGAAGCGCGCCTGGCGCGCGTGCACTGCGCTTGCGCAGTGCTCGGGGCGGCGGGAATGGCGGGAACCCCGGCTTCTAGCTGGAGTCCCCAGCACGCAGCCAGCCGTTGCGCGCTACCTGGCCCGCTGAGGGCCTGGCGGACGGGCTGAACTGCAGCAGTTCTGCGATCAGGGCCTTGCAGCGCTCGGACAGCTCGAGGCCATCCGGGTAGAGGACGCCACGCTTCTGGCGCCTGGGCAGACCAGCGATGTCCGAGTCGTCGAAGGGCATGCACCCGGTGACCATGACGTAGAGCACGACGCCGAGGCTCCACACGTCGTACTTCTTGGGGTCGTATGGGATACCCAAGAGTACCTCAGGCGACGCGTAGGCGGCCGAGCCGCAGTAGGTGGTGCTCAGGTCAGGATAGCCGTGTGCCTGGCGACCAAAGCCAAAGTCAGTGAGCTTCACGCGGCGCTCGTCGGGGCTCAACAACACGTTTTCGCACTTGAGGTCCCGGTGCACCAAGTGGTGGTCATGCAAGTAACGCACAGCCCCAGCGATCTGCGCGAATAGGTCACGCGCCTGACCCCCGGGGATGCGCCCGTTGCGCTGCACTGCCTGCAGCAGGTCGGTGGCAGCCGCCTCCATCACGATATAGAGCTTCCCATTGCACACCTCTATGAACTCGAAGACGTGTACGATGTGTGGGTGTCGCACGCCCCGTAGGATGGACAGCTCGCGTGGCAGAAACTTGTTGACGAAGTCGGGCGGCGCGCGCCTCCGGTCCACCACCTTGATGGCCACTGTGCCCTTGTACTTCTTGGACGTGGCCACCTTCACCTTGGAGTAACTGCCCTCGCCTATCGTGCGTCCCAGCTTATAGCCGAGTTCGCTCAGAAGTTTGTCGCCCGACATGGTGGCGCCTGGGGCGCGCGGGGAGCAGGAGGCGGCTGCTGTCGGGGGGCGGCCGGACTCCAATCTCAGGCCTAACCCATGGCGCTTGGCACGTGCACACCCGCACCCCCATGTGCCCACTCCCGGGTCCCCGCCGCAGCGGTGCCTTTTATTGCCCAGGTAACAATTTCTGCCTTGTGAAGTGACCACGGGCGTCACCCCGCCTTGGCGTGGGGGCCCCTGGACCCCGCCCCACAGGGCCCCCCAAGGCCATGAGGCTTTGTGACTCATAATCGCTCTGAATGGCCCAGTTCCCATGAGAGATCCTGGCAAAGGGTCCCGACCACCACTCGGGAGCAGAATCGGTGCCTGGCATTGGGGCGGCTCCTCATGAGTCCAATCTGAGCAGCAGTCGCCCCCCAGCTTCGTGTACCCAGCTCTGGCCATGTGGAGGTTTGGGACGCCCGCACAGCCCCGCGAAAGGGAGAAAACGAGAGAGGGGGCTTAACTGGGTAACTCGGTGACCCGGCTCCCTCAGGAGCTTGGGGTCTCTGAATGGCCTCAGCACCGCACCAGAAGGAAGGTGTACGGAGGTGCTTTAGGGCAAGGACCCGGGCGACCGGACGGGCTACAGGCGTCTACACCGACTGAGCCAAGCCCCGTCTAAGAGAAGAAATACGAAATCCTCAGCTACAGCCTGGCCGCCCAGTAGATCCCTGGACCTATTGTCCAAGCTCTCCTTCGCGATGGAATCGCTACATTAGCGTCCTAGGCGCCCTAGTCCCGTCCAAGACATGCGCGGTACAGTCTGCCACACTCATCATGGCGGCAGCCGCCGGACGTAACTTCCGCTCGCGGCCGGAAGTTGGGGTCTTGGGAGCATGGCAGCGTCGAAGGTGAAACAGGACATGCCCCCGCCGGGGGGTTATAGCCCCATCGACTACAAGCGGAACCTCCCGCGTCGGGGACTGTCGGGTCAGTGTCGCACTACGCCGGGGTGTCAGGGTTGGGGCTTCGGGGCGCCGCGACGGTGGGGGGGGCGCCGGGGAGTCTCGCGGGCCTCAGTTTCCGCCGCAGTGTGACGGGAGGCGGAGCCCAGGGATTCCCGATAGCTTCGGTAGTAACGAGGATAACTGCTGGAGTTTGTCGAACGCTTATTAAGCTTTGTTTTCTTCACAGAACAGTCCGGGAGGTCGGTCCCGTTAATTCTTCCCATTCCACTGTTGGTTAGACCGATCAATGTAGCCCGTGCCTCGAGCCCGCGGCCACACTTCCGTTTCACAAGTGGGGAAACTGAGGCCCTGCCCCCAGGGCTACCCAGTGTAAAACTCGTGCTGAAACTGAAACACTGAGGGAATTTAGAAGATGTTCCTCTCTGGTAGTCCCTACCTGCGGATGTCCCAGGAATATGTATTCTTAAATTTTTCAAATGTTTTAAGTAACATTTAAAATTTTGTTATTGGGCTCAATACAAGAAAATATAAAAGAAAAAAAAGAAGGGCCACATACTTTGCACCTAGGGTTAACAGAGAAATACAAAATTTTATTTTGTTTTTTTAAGATTTTATTTATTTATTTGACAGAGACACAGCAAGAGAGGGAACACAGGCAGGGGGAGTGGGAGAGGGAGAAGCAGGCTCCCCGCGGAGCAGGGAGTCCGATGCGGGGTTCGATCCCAGGACCCTGAGATCATGACCTGAGCCGAAGGCAGACGTTTAACCGACTGAACCACCCAGGCACCCTGAGAAATAGAAAATTTTAAAGAGGGGCGCCTGGGTGGCTCAGATGGTTGAGCGTCTGCCTTCGGCTCAGGTCGTAATCCCAGAGTCCTGGGATCGAGTCCCGCATTGGGCTCCCTGCTCCTTGGGAGCCTGCTTCTCCCTCTGCCTCTCTCTCTCTCTCTCTCTCTCCCCCTCCCCCCCTTCCCCGTCTCTCGTGAATAAATAAATAAAATCTTTAAAAAAAAATTTTTTAAAGAAGGATGAATACATTTCCCATAACTCATCAAACTTTATATTTAATGTTATGCACATGTGCCTCGATTAAAAAAACATACACGGGCATGGTAAAAAAGAATTCAGACAGTGGGAAAGTATCAGGTGAAAACTCAAGCTCCTTCCAGCCCCGTCTTGGCTTTTTTGTTTCCCAAAACCTCGGTTAGCAGACTTTTTCTAGAAAGGGCCAGATAAATATTTTACACTTTGGGGACCAGATGGTCTCTGTCCACTGTTGCTGCCTTTTTTTTTTTTAAGATTTTATTTATTTATTTGAGAGAGCTCAAGAGAGCACAAGCAGGGGGAGGGGTAGAGAGGGACAAGCACTCTGTGCACAAGCACACGGAGTGGGGAGACTGTAATGGGGCTCAATCCCAAGACCCCCAAGATCACAACCTGAGCCGAAGGAATGCTTAACCAACTGAGCTACCCAGGCACTCCTCTGCTGCTGCATTTTTACAGCTGTTTACAAACCTGAAAGTGCTCTTAGCCCAAGAGACAGGTTACAGGCTAGATTTGGCACCACCTTGGCATTTGACTCATCCCAGAACAGATTGGACAAAAATAATGTGATCTGAATCTCTTCAATTTCTTTTCTCAAGTATCACTTAACGCCCAGGCTAGTGTACCCCTCAGGTGTGCGGCATGAGGTCTGTTTATACATGTGCCCCTGTGTGACCGGTAGCCAGACTGGGTTGACTGGGCTCCCCCTAGTCAGCATGTCTCTTTTTTATTTTTAAGTCACAAATGTGCCCTTAATCCCAGTCCTCTTCCAGTTCATGACATGGTAGTGCCTGCCATGTGCCCTCTATACCATTATCTAGGGTTGGGCCTCCTAGTTACACCCCTCACACCAACTTGCATTGTAGCATATACAAACCTGCCCCCTGGCTGCAGTGGGGTGAGGAAGAGACCCCTTCTGGTGGCATGGTCTTTGTTATGTCCCTGCATTCAGTAGTTGCTTGTTGAGTGTGCATGTGGCACTGAGCCCTGTCTGGAAGAGCTCATAGCCTAGCAGAGGAGATGAACATAGCGCACCAGAATTTCCCATTTTGGCAAGGCCGGAGCTAACCAGGGCCTGCTTTAGCCAGGGTGAGCTGGAAGGACCTCTCTGAAAGTCCCCTAGGTGAAGGGAACAGCAAGTGCAATGGCCTTGCTCTCCATCCTGCACTCTACCCTAATCATCTGTCCTGTGCCCTCCTCCAGCCTTGCGTTTGAGCCAGAGTCCCCAGTGGCCCTCTCCCCATTAGTCCTACACACAAGCCTGGCATCCACTCCCCTCCTCCCTGCCTAGATCACTCTCCACTAGCGTCCTAGAACCTGCAAAGCTGGCTCAGACCACCTTTAATCCACACTGTTCCCGAAGTGACTGCTACCCCTGTCTTTTCCACTCAGTTCTCTTCTCTCCACTCCCTCTTGTGCCCAGTGGGTGGCCCTTTCTTTTTTCCCTGTGTCTTTAACTTTTTTTTTTTTAATTCACAGACAATACCATACAATTCACCTATTTCATGTGTACAAATCACAGATTTTTAGTCTATTCAGTTTCATAACCGTCACCAGGATCTAAATTTATAACACTTCTGGGGCACCTGGGTGGCACAGTCGGTTAAGTGTCTGACTCTTGGTTTCGGCTCAGGTCGTGATCTCAGAGTCATGGGATTAAGCTCTGCATGGGGCTCTGCCATCAGCGGGGAGTCTGGTTGGGTTTCTCTCTCTGTCTGCCCCTCCCTCTCCCCCTGTGTGTGTGCGTGCATATGCTCTCTCTCAAATAAATAAATAAATCTAAATAAATAGATAAATTTATAACACTTCCATCACTCCAAAAGGAAACCCCGACCTCATGAGCAGTGACTCCTCATCCTCCCTCTTCCATCCCCTGGCAACCACCAGTCTGCTTTGCGTTTCTATGGATTTGCCAGTTCTGGACATTTCATGTAAATGGGCTTCTATTTTATGTGGCCTCTGGTGTCTGGCTGCTTTCACTCAGCAGGATGTTTTTAATGTGCATGGTGTAGCATGTGTCCAAGCTTCATTTTATTTGTTTGTTTATTTTTTGGTTGAATAATATTCTTGTATGAATGGACCACAGTTTGTGTATCCATTTACCACTTGATGGACATTTGAGTTGTTGCCGCCTTTTGGCTGCTTTGAACATTCCTGTGCAGGCTTCTGTGTGGATATAGGTTTCATTTTTCTTTTTTTTTTTTTTTAAGATTTTATTTATTTGAGAGAGAGAGAATGAGAGATAGAGAGCATGAGAGGGAAGAGGGTCAGAGGGAGAAGCAGACTCCCTGCTAAGCAGGGAGCCCGATGCGGGACTCGATCCCAGGACTCCAGGATCATGACCTGAGCCGAAGGCAGTCGCTTAACCAACTGAGCCACCCAGGCGCCCTAGGTTTCATTTTTCTTGCGGGAAATTTCACCTAGGAGTGGCATAGCTAGGTCATATGGTAACTCCACATTTAACGTTTCAAGGAACTGCCAAACTGTTTTCCAAATTGGCTGTACTGTTTTACATTTCTCCCTGCAGTTAGTTTATGGGATTTCCAATTTCTCCACATCTGGACAACACTAATTAGTTTCCTTTTTTTTTTTAATTCTAGCCATCCCAATGGGTGTGAGGTCATATCTCATTGTGGTTTTGATTTGCATCTCCCTGGTGACTAACGATGTTGAGCATCTTTTCATGTGTCTATAGGCCATTTGTATAGCTTTCCAGGAGAAATATCTTCCAAGTCCTTTATACATTTTTTTAATTGGGTGGTTCATCTTTTTTTTTTTTTTTTTAGTTTTTTTGAGCGAGAGAGTATGCAGGCGCGGGGCGGGTGGGGAGGAGAATCTTAAGCAGGCTCTACACCCAGCATGGAGCCCAAATGCAGGGCTTGATCCCACAGCCCTGAGACTATGACCTCAGCCGAAACCAGGAGTGGGATGCTTAACCGGCTGAGCCACCCAGGTGCCCCAGGTTGTTCATCTTTTATACATCTTGGTTACCATTCCCTTATCAGATACATGATTTTCAGAAACTCTCTTCCATTCTGGGGGTTGTCTTTTCATCTTGTTGATGGCATCATTTGTAGCACAAAAGTTGTTCATTTCAGTGAAGCCCAATTCATCTGTTTTTTTCTTTTGTCACTTTTGCTTCCTAGCTAAGAAGCCATTGCCTCATCCAAGGTCACAGAGACTGACAAATCTGTTTCCTGAGAGTTTTATAGTTTTAGCTCCAAATTGAGGTCTTTGATCCATTTTCAGTTAATTTTTGTGTATGGGGGAAGGAAAAAGCACACTTTATTCTTTTGCATGTGGCTATCCACTTATCCAGTTTGCTGAAAGACTGTTCTTTCCCCATTGAATTATCTTGGCACCCTTGTCCAAAATCAATTGACCGTAAATGTGAGGGTTTATTTTTGGACTCTCAGCTCTGTTCCATCGATGTACATGTCTATCGTGATGCCATGCCACACTGTCTTGTACACACAGCTGTGTGTTAAGTTTGAAATTGTGAAGTGTGAGTCCTCCAACTTTGTTGTTTTTCAGAATTGTTTGGTTAATCTGGGCCCTTGAATTTCCATATGAATTTCACAATCTGCTCCTCAGTTTCTGTAGGGCTGGTAAGGGGGGAAGGTTGGGATTCTGATGGGACTCCATTGAACTGGTACCTTAGTTTGGGGAGTCCTGCCATCTGAACAATGTTAAGTGCTGATACTGAACACAGGATGTGTTTCCAGTTATTCAAGTGTTCTTTACTTATAGCCTTGCACCCACTTCTGGGCATGCCCCTCATCAGCCTCCCCCACCAGACTGGCAGCTCCTGAGGTACAGACCCACGCTGAGGGTCTGGGGTCTCAGCCTCACCACTGTCAGCAAGAAAGAGCTGTACATTTGTAAAGGCTACCTTTATCTTAGAATTTATCTTACACATGGGCCCACACATGAGTACCTGGTGTGAAGACAACGGGTCTCCATGAGGATAGCCCAGGCTTATGCCCTGGGGCCAGGTCAAAAGAAGAGGCCCCTGGGCTTCTCTATAGCTACTGAAAAGAAAGAGGCAGCTCTTCTAAGATGTTCCTGTCTAGCCCGGTGGTCAGCCATGTGTAAGAGCCATAGTTGTGCTGGGAGCTGGTCCTGGGCACTCAGGCCTCTCGGGAGAGGTTCTCCCTCTGTGCAAAGGAACCAGGGCACCCTCGCTGTCTGCCCCCTGTAACATGGAAGTGTCTTACTCTGAGCTAGTGTTTGTTTTGCATTTTTAAGATTTATTTATTTGAGAGCGAGGGAGAGAGAGAGAGCATGAGCACAGAAGGGAGAGGGAGAAGCAGACTCCCTGCTGATCAGAGCCCGATGCAGGGGCTCCGTCCCAGGACCCTGATATCATGACCTGAGCCGAAGGCAGACGCTTAACGAACGGAGCCACCCAGGCGCTCCTGAGCTAATGTTTTCAGTGGGTTTAACTGAGGGGCTGAAAAATCTAACCAGCTTCTCATGCATCTTTGGGTCCAGTAGAGATGCCAGAATAAACGTGTACTGAACTGAGCTGAAGAAGAAAGATGAGGACAGGGACAACAGAGGCCCGCTGCAGGCAGCAAGCAGGGCCGGGACTCCCAGAGCCCCTCTGCCCCCCACCAGTCCTAGGGAGTGGCCTCACCCACCATTTGCTGGTCATTTCCTGGGTGTTAACTGGAGCTCGACCTGGCCAAATTTGTCAGTTTTTCGGGGCAACCACAAGGCCTGTCCAGGGAAGAGCCTACAGCTCAAAAGATTAGAGGGTATGGGGTGAGCCAGCCCCAACCAGGCCGCAGGCAACTTGGGCCTCCCTGAAGACCACAGCAGGCCCACAGCCTGTCAGTCAGAATTACAGCGCAGGTGCCTGCTGGTGTCAGTAAATATTCATGGCAGCCTCTGTCCCCTGGTGCCCAGGCAGGGGGCTTAACCTGCTGGGCCGGGAGGCAGTACCCCAGGGAGCCCAGGGGTGGCTGGGCGGACCCTACAGGGCACTGCCTGCCTGTGGCAGCCCCATCCAGCCCTCTGTGGGTAGCACTCAGAGAAGTGGCCTAGGCAGCTAGGAGCCACCATGGAGCTGGACCCAGCTGTAGACACCATCCTTCCCCATTGGAAGCACCTGCTGACTGGGAACCAGACAACCTTCGAGAAGATTGTGGGGCTGGGGCCACCCAACCATAAACAGCAAGACCCTCAGGCTCTCCTGCAGTCCCTGCCCAGACTGTACCTTCTAGAAACTGTGGCATGGGGGCAGAGGTATGGCAGCTGCAGCTACCTCCCTTGTCAGAGAAAAGCTGAGGCACCCTGGTGCCCCTGCCTGCAGGGTAGGTGAACGGAATAAAGACTGGTCTGCAGTTTCGTAGGAGGGGGTCCAAGGGAAGAGACCGGTGGACATTCCACGGGGACAAAAAAATAATCTGAAGAAATATGCACTAGAGACAGTACTGGCCATCTCTAGGAGGGGGTCACTAAGACTTTCACCTTTTCCTGCATCAGTGTTTCTGGTGTATTTGCACGGCAAGCCATTTAATATTTCACAAGAAGAAACTACAAGGGGTGGTCTGTCCCAGGGGCAAGTGCTGAGCTGGTGGCCGCTCTCCCCACAGGCTACAGCATGTTTGCTCTGGGCATTGGGACCTTGCTCTTCGGGTACTGGAGCATGATGAAGTGGAACCGCGAGCGCAGGTAGGCCCCAGGCCCCAGGCTGCTGAGGGCGGGAGTGCACCTGGTGTCCACTGGGGCCCTTTGTCAACCCCTCAAGACCCAAGAAGTATGGACCTGGACTGAGTCCATTTCTGAACTTTCCACTCAAGAAAGGACTCATAAGTGAGCAGCTTGTCACTGGGCATCCCTTGGCCTCTGCTGCTAGGGACCCGAAGGTCTGGATTAGGACAGCCCATCAGGTGGACATGGAGGGGCAGACCCAGGACATGCTGTCTTGGTGCGTTTTTGTCAGTGGTAACCAGGCAGTGAGGACAATAAGGGCTTAGAAACAGGCCACGCAAGACAATGGTCGTGCCAGCTACGTGGGGCCTTAGGCACCAAGGCAGATGGTGGCCTCCATTCAGACTCTGGCTGCCTCTAAGCTGGCCCAGTGCCCTGCTTGGTGACCCCTCCTCATTGACCCCTTACTGGCTGAGCCCGTCTGCCCTGCCCCACTCCACCCTGTGTTACGTGTCCTTAGCACCCCCTTTGAGCTCACTTCCCCCACCCCCCCTGCCGCACAAGTCTGGGAATCCCGGAGGGTAGTGCTGAAGGCAGCCAGCATGTGTCAGGTACTGGACGTTGAGTGCACTAAGACCAGGTCCGGCTTCCCAGGAGCACCCGCAGAGAGATGGACACAGTAGTGACAACTGTGTGGCTGTGGGGGGGCAGTGGCTTGGAGTGGGGCTGCTGCTGTGGGTCTGGAAGGATAGGAGGGAAGGAAGCTGAAGCTCATTCAAACCCTTCCCTGTGTGGCTGTGAGATTCCTAGGGATGAGGAGCCACTTGCATGGCCACATCACTGGGTGCTGCTCCCCCAGCGTGAATGGGGCTGGTGGCTCAAAGAGACAGAACTGCCTGCCCTGGGCTCACACCGCAGGGTTATTTTGACACGAAGAGGATATGGTTTTGTAAGGCCCAGAGCCCTGTGATGAAGGTCCCATCCCCCGTCCCTGGTTCACCACAATCTTCAGGCCAGGGCTATTTTTAGGATTAAGAAAGTTTTTAATTAAAAAGAAAGTGTGAAGCCAGCAGTCTTGTGGATCAGCGCCTGTGCCACCTGCGTGCCTCCCCCCCACCATTTCCCATCTTCTGGCAGGTAGAGCTTACTGCCCAAGCCTTGCCCCGCTCACTTGCCTCTCCCCCAACCCCCTTCCCCATGCGTCACCCTGTGGGTCTAAGGCCACGTCATCTACCCCAGCTCCAGCGTGATCTAATCTGTTGGTTTGGGGGTTTCACAGGCGCTTGCAGATTGAGGACTTCGAGGCCCGCATCGCGCTGATGCCACTGTTGCAGGCGGAGAAGGACCGGAGGTGGGGCCACTGAGACCAGGGTTGGAAGGTCGCAGGCCTGAGTGTCCCATCCTGCAGTGCAGGACCTGGCCAGAATGCACGTGGGGACTGACAGCTGTGTCCTTGCATACATGGGGTTGCTGTCACACTTGGAGAGGGCCCCAAGCTTGACTTAAAGTGGAGACCCAAGGGACAGAATGGGAAGGCTCCCTGGAGGAGAAGACATTGAGGCTGCAGCAGGAGGACAGTAGAAGTTTATAGTTGGGGGGAAGGGACAAGAGGGGTCAGCATGTGCAGGGTTGGAAGTGGCAGGAGGTGATGGGGAGTAGAACAGGGAGGGTCCTGGCAGGTCTGTTAGGCAGGGGTCCCTCGGGGTGCTCAGGCCTGTCCTTCACCTTCCATTCCATCCCCACAGGGTCTTGCAGATGCTTCGAGAGAACCTGGAGGAGGAGGCCATCATCATGAAGGATGTGCCTGACTGGAAGGTGGGTCCTGGGCAGGGAGGGCGAGGATCCAGGCCGCTGTAGAAACATAGGCACCATGGGAAACCTGTGGCTGAGAGGAGTAGTGGGGGCCAGGCATGAGGAGGGGAAGGCGGAAGCTTTTGGTGTAGTCACAGTAGCCACTAGGCCTAGTGGGGTCCCAGTAGGTAGTGTGGGCCTGAGGGGGTAGCTGCACCCCCACCCATATTCCTCTGTCTCCACAGGTGGGTGAGTCTGTGTTCCACACAACGCGCTGGGTGACTCCCATGATGGGCGAGCTCTATGGGCTGCGCACGAATGAGGAGATCCTCAACGCCACCTACGGCTTCATGTGGTACACGTAGGGGTCTGCTCCCCTCGGACCACTGGGACCCCCTACACCCTCCCCACTGGGAAGGAATAAATGCTCTGGAGACCCGCCTGCCTGTGTCCCAGTGACTGAGCGACCTGTGAGTGGGGCACCATTGGGTTACACATGGCCTGATGACCTAGGGTCTAGACCTGGGGATTCTGCAGAAGATGCCCGGTGGGGTGGCCTCAAAACATACCCAGAGACTGCGCCTGGACCCATCAGCCTTGGCTCACAAATACGCCTGGACTTTCCTACCTCTGTTGAAACCCTCCTTGTCAGTAGCCCATCCCTCCAGGCTGGGGTTCGCCCCCAACCCCGCACCCTGAGCACATCAGTGAGTGGAGGACCTAAAGAGCAGAGCATGGGATGGAGGGGCACCGAAGGCGTGTCCCCTTGCTCCCAGGCCGAGACTCCGTTACGGGGGTCGCTACCTGTCTGGTTTCCTTCCCTTCCCAGGGCGGCGCCACTCCTGGCACGAAAGGGTTAAGTGTGCCTGCACCCGCCAGCCAATGGCCGCGCACAGCGTCTTCGCGGCGCCGCCTGATTGGCGGAAGCACAGGGTGGGAGGGGAGGAGGCCCCTGTGCCCTGGGATGCTCTTAAAAGGCTGTGGCTGTGGCAGCCGGGCTTTGGGCACCGGCTCACCTCGGCCATGAGCAGCGCGGCCCGCCTGGACCCAACGGAGGCGCCCGAGGAGCGGCGTTTCCTCAGGTCAGCCAGGGGTGGGGATGCCAAAGACCATGGCAGGGATGCAGCCCGGAGCCGGGGGCATCATGGACTAGGCAAGGCTGGGAGGAGGTCTCATGGGCAGGATGGATCAGAGTAAGGAGCATGGCCAGGATGGGGCCTGGGGGGTCCTGAGGCCCACCCGCATTAACCTGGAGAGATGAAGCCTGCAGCCTGCTGCTGCCAGTGCCTTGTAAGCTGCGTTGCCAGGGAAACTACATCCGCCTGGGGCTCACCCCTAAGTGAATCGTTCAGCAGCACCGCTAGTAGCTCTCCCATCACTCCTCAACCCAATCCAGGCCCACCTCCCCTTTCCATCTGTCCTTGGAAACCTGGAAGCTCCCACCCTTCGTTCCCCATCTGGGAAGAGCTGAGCTCTTAGCTCCTCAAACGTTCACACCCCTCTTGGTGGCCCACCAGCTACTATCTCCTTGATCAGGGAAGGAAACTGAGGCCTGGGTTGGGAAACCACTGTCTGAGCCAAGGCTAGGGTTTTTGAATATGTGGGCCACTTGCCAGTAGTTTGATTGGATTTGGGCTCTGGAGTTGGCAGCTGTGGCTGTGTCTCCCACCTTATCCTGAGTTATCTTGTGATCTGGGACCCCAAGCAGGGCTGTGGACCTCAATGTAAACCAGATTCATCTGATATCCCCTTGTCTGGCCTCCTCTGCCCACTATCCACTCAGGCCCTCAGGGCAGATACTGTCCAGTTGACTGGCTGATGTTCAGATTGAGCCTGTAGACCCAACACATCCTAGACAGAAGAGAGCTGGAGCTGTGATTTCACCTGGCATGGGGGATGGTGGGGCCAGTTGTGCGGCGTCTCAGATGCCAACGGAGGAGTGATGTGGCACCGGGATGGGTAGGAGTGGAATGCGCAAGCAAGGAGACAGGAGACAATGAGGTTAGAAACAATGGGCGCATAGGCGTGGGGAGGAATCTGAATATTCTCTGAATATTGGGGAGCCATAAGCAGGTGTGAGACAAGTGGCGATGTGATCTGGCGTTTAAGTTTTCAAAGCCCCCACGGCTCTTGTGTGGAGGAGGAGTTTGGGGGCCATGAGACTGTTTTAGGCAGCCCGGTGAGCAATGATGGTGGGCTGGTGGGCAGAGGCCTGAAGGTCAGAAGCAGATGGAGCCAAGAGAGCAGGGAGGGTCTGGCCTGGGCAGCCTGGCCCCAGGGCTTCACCTCCAAAAGAGCCTGCTCCTGGAAGCATTTTGGGAGAACCGGCCCAGTTCCTTTGAAGGCCGGTCACCTCAGCCTTTGTGCTCTCGGGGAAATCCTGGACCTCACAGTTGCTCTCATCTGGGGACTGGCATTGGGAGGAGCGAGGGGCACATCGTAACGGAGCCCCCCACCTCTGGCCAGTCCCACAGTGGCGCTGCCCTGTCCCCCTCCCCCACCAGCTCGGATTCCCACTCAGACCCCACCTAAAGCTGCCAGCGTCCCTACCCCCCAGGCTCCTAGCCGCCACCATCCTCCCCATTATCACTCTAATGACCAGTTAGGCAGGAAGATAAGGTTCCAAGTGGTGGCCTGAGGCCAAAGCTTTGGGGCCGAGGAAGAGGAGGAGGAAGGGGTATTCCAACCGCCCTTCTCATCTTCCCCTCACCCTCCTGCGGGGGCAGCAGCCAGAGCTGTCACAGACGAAGGTGGAGGAATGAGAGAGACCCATTTCCGAACACGCCTTCTCCAGGGTTCTCTCCTGGGGGCCGGGCCAGCCCGCCCAGGGAGTGCTCTTCATCTGCCCCACCGTGAGCTCCTTTTCCCCCGCTGGTCCTTCAACCTTATCTGAAGTCAGCTGGGGTTGAATCTGGCTCTGGTTGCTGAGGTGACTCAGGGCACGTGTCCTCCCTGCCCTAAGCCTCCATCTCCCCCCCATGTGCGTGGGCCCCCAAAGTGTCCTTCTGACCCAGTTTCTCAGTTTCCCTTGCTCAGCTCCAGCCACAGTGGCCTCACTTCTGTCCCTTCAATCTGCCAAGCTCATTCCCACTACAGGACCTTGGCCCTCACTCTTCTTCCACATGGATTACCTCCCAAAGTGCTCCAGGCCATCTCCTCCAGGAAGCCATCCCTGATTCCCCCCTCCCGCAGCCGTCTTTATTCCTTACCTATGTCCCTCCTGCTGCCTGGCCTGATTGCTGCAAAATTGGTCGGAAGGTTGTGGTCTCTTGCTCACAGAATTGAAGGAAGGAACCTAAAGATTCACCCCAAGAAACCTTTGCTATCTGTAGGTCTGCCTCTGCTTCTTTGCTCACACCCTGTGTGGCTCTGGAAACAGAGAAGTCTGTTTTCTTACTTGCTGCCTGCATGACTCTGGGCAAGCCACTTGGTTACCCTGAGTGGTTGAATATTCTGGGCCTGGTTCTGTTACTACTACTATGCTCTCTAGGGTCTGCTGAGCTGGGGGTAGGTGCTCTTCCCCCGCAGGAAAGAGTCCTGCTAGGGGAAGCTAGCATCAGGACATAAACCCTGCCCAGCTGCCCCAACCCCTTATTCTGGGGGACCATTTCCGATCTTCAATGCCAGCTCTCCTTCTCTGCCGCCACTACAGCCCATGCCCGTTGGAAGCCCCTAAGCCAGGGCTGGCTTGGTCCCTGCTCTTGGAAGAGTCCAACGCTTGGTTGTCATTATCTTAAAATTCTTAAGTTATGGGGCCCGTGTTTGCATTTTGAAATGGGCCTTGAAATTTATCTAAGCCTACGCGGACTTTACTTTTGCAAAAAAGGAAGCAAAGCTAAGATGTGACAGATCCCAGTCACTCAGGGAGTTGATGGGAGACCTTCACCTTAAATGAGTAAACCCCATCTCTCTAGCCACAATTATTGAAGGGTCACCAATAGGTCTGATAGCTGTGGGTTCCACATCCACCTCCCGAAGTGAGCCATCAAACTCCTCTGCAGCCTTCAAAATCCACCTCCCTCAGGCACCTCCTCCCCCAGCCCAGTCGGCCCCCTCCAGTGTTCTGGAGCTTGCTCACTGTTTTCCGCTGCATGAAATTCGCCCATCACCGTCATCAGTCTTTCCCGCCCATTCCTCCTTCTGGGTTCTTCCCGCGGTGGGGGTGGGCGCATCTGGGCGGGGCTCCAGTGTCCCCCGCTTTGGGGCAGTAGAACCAACATGCGCCACCACGCGCTCCTCGACCACCAGAGGGCGCCCGTGCCTTGAGTTTCAGCTTAAACCCGCTGCTCCATTCAACCGCATGCACGTCTAGCAGGGAAACTCAGGTTGGGGGTGGCTCTAGGGCCTGGCTGGGAACGTTGGTGGAAGGTTACTGGTTCCATCCGAACCTCTCTAAGTCTTTCTCTCTTTGTGTCTTTGAGCGTCTCTCCCCACTCTGTCCCCCAGCACTGCTGAGGCGGCTGCCCTGGAGCGGGAGTTGCTGGAGGATTATCGCTTTGGGCGGCAGCAGCTGGTGGAGTTGTGTGGCCATGCTAGTGCTGTGGCTGTGACCAAGGTATCTGACCCCTGAACCTTGACCTTGACCCCATCCAGATGGCCAGCCCATCAGAGCCGAGGCCTAGCTGCATGACCTGGCTGGCCAAAATGGTCCAGCACTCAAGAAGCCACTTTTTTGTGTGGAGCTACTCCAGCCCATCATTCAGATGGGGAAACAGGCCTAGAGAGGCTTATCACTGGTCTAGACCAGGCAGGGACCCAAGACCCTAGGTGTCAGTGAGGGTCAGGGCAGAGATAGGAGTGCCCAAAGACTTGGAGGCTGGGAAGCAGAGACTGAGGCTACTGCAGGATGCTCCTGGGGCCCTTTGTGACCACCCGCCTCTGCCATCTCCTGGATCTCAGTAAGGGAGACATCAGTTCCTGCAGGCTGAGTACCTCCAAATAACCCCATGCTGCAGGTAGGGAAACTGAGGCCCAGAGGCAGGGAGTGGCCTGCAAAGTGTAGGTCCCACGGGGTAAGTAAGCAGAGCTGTGTCTGGATCCAGGGCAAAGCCCCAGCTTCGAGGTGTCTCCAAGAGACACGAGAGTAATAAGCAATGATGATGCTGCCTTCCAGTGCTTTTGGCCACGTCGTCAAACTGTGGGCCTGTTTCGTCCTCCAAAGCAAGCGTAATAAACTGACACCAGTTAATAAACACAAATGCCTTAGAGAAGTGCCTGATGGCGTCAGGGCTCCAGCATGTAACCTTTCTCTTCCTCCTCTTCTTGTCACCACTGCAGACTTTTGTTAAACACAATCTCTTTCTTTATGTAGGCTCAGTTTGTTGTTTTTTTTTTTCACGTTCCTATTTCCAAATGAAACATATCCTGAGTGAAGCTCCCACAGGAGAAGGAAATGATAACCATCAAAGCCCCAGAGTCCAACGTAGTAAATACTTGCCTGGCCCTTACTGACTGAATGTCGTTTGGTTTTGTCCTGAAAGCCCCAAGTCCGTCCAGAAGGCCCTCAGTCCCAGCCAGCCCAGACATCATTGCCCTCCCCCGCCCGCATCTCCAGTCTCGGGCTCTGGGCCTGGCATGGTGGGGTCGCAGGTGCCCTCGAGGTGGGGCAGGACCTCACTGAGACCTTGGGGAGGAGACAAAGAAATACTAAGCCCTCTGTGTAGCTGGAGGTTAGGGTACAGCCAGGCCCCCTGGGGCCCCTGGTCTCAGAGAGGCCCTGTGACCCTGTCAGTGCTATTGTCATTCCCATTTGATAGAGGCCAAGCGAGGCTGGGAGAGGAGAGGGGGCTGAGGCCATACAGGGAGTCAGGGCAGTGCTGCAGCTGGAACACCAGTGCTCTGAACTCCTGCATTAAGGAGACTGATGCAGGGCGCCTGGGTGGCTCAGTTGGTTAAGCGACTGCCTTTGGCTCAGGTCATGATCCTGGAGTCCTGGGATCGAGTCCCACATCGGGCTTCCCTGCTCAGCGGGGAGTCTGCTTCTCACTCTGACCTTCTTCCCTCTCGTGCTTTCTATCTCTCATTCTCTCTCTCTCTCAAATAAATAAAACCTTTAAAAAAAGAGAGAGACTGATGCACAGGCCCACAGAGACGCAGAGAGTCTGGGAGACAGAGACAGAGACAAAGAGAGACACAGAAATGCAGGCACAGAAAGACTACAGAGAGACGGATGGGGGGTAGACACAGAGTCAGACATAGAGAAGACAGGTATGGCGAGGCAGATGGAGAGAGACAGGGCATCTTGGGTTGGAAAAGCACACACCCCCCCAGCTTTGGGGCCTCCAGGAGGGGCTGAGACCTGGAAACGTGGGCGGGGGAGGGGCAGCCACTGCGGTGGAAAAAGGTGGAAGAATGTCTGCAACTCAGGCCGAGAATAAACAAACCGCACTCTGGGCGCCGAGTGGTGGCAGACGGCACGTTTTCCTGCTCCAGCTTGGCAGAGCCTGAAGCAGGGACTCTGCATCTCCCAGGAGGAACTTGAGGCCCCCAGCGGCCATGCCCTTTGCCCAGAATGCCTCTCCTCCTGTTCTGTTGCCTCTAGGCCCATGCCCATCCCTTCTGCTACTCCGGGCCTCAGTTTCCCCACCCGAACAAGGAGGAATTCCAGACATCATGTCTTTGCTTTTGCTGTGCCCTCTGCCAGGTGTTCCCCTTGCCTACTCTCTCCCGGAAGCAGAGGACAGTGCTGGTCGTGTGTGGCCCGGAGCAGAACGGGGCCGTGGGGCTGGTTTGTGCCCGGCACCTGCAGATGTTTGTGAGTAGCAAGGACCCCCTTGGCCTCCTAGGGTCACCCCCTCAACCCTGTCCCTGCAGAAATTGCTCCCTCCTCTTGATAGGGTCCCAGGGGGACATTGAGGCGGGAGAGGTTACAGAATAAGCCCAGTGCTTGCCCTAGGCGGGGTCTGCTGCCTGGTATCCAGGTCTGGGGGCTAAGGCCCAGTAGGGAGCCTGGAAGGGGCCCCAGTGCTGACTCCTTTCCGTGCCCCGCCCCCAGGAGTACGAACCAACCATCTTCTACCCTACACGCTCACTGGATCTGCTGCACCGGGACCTGACCACCCAATGTGAGAAGATGGACATCCCCTTCCTGTCCTATTTGCCCACGGAGGTCAGCGCTTGGTGGCAAATGAGGGGGGGAGTAGGGGACAGTGCCCAAAGGCCGCCCCCTGACCCTGCCTGCTCTCTCAGGTCCAGCTCATCAACGATGCCTATGGGCTGGTGGTGGACGCCGTGCTGGGCCCTGGCGTGCAGCCGGGGGAGATCGGGGGCCCCTGCACGCGGACGCTGGCCATACTCAAGCTGCTGTCCATCCCCCTTGTGAGCCTGGACATTCCCTCAGGCATGCCGGGCAGGAGGGGGGGCCTGTTGGGGGCTTGGGTGGGGGCCCTCTGCACTCCAGCTTCTGGTGGCACCAGCCTGTCTCCGAGCCTCAGTTTCCCTAGCGTGGATGGCTCATGCACTCTGGGTGAGGGTCATGTCCATCCCTCAGATAGGGAAGACCGAGGCTGCTGCCCAGGTGACCCCCTGTCCCATCCCCCCACACCCAGCCCAACGTGCCCGCTGCCCACTCTGGCCCAGTTGCCTGGGCAGACGTGAGCTCACTCGGCAAAGGCCTCACCCGTCCTGGCCGCCGCCCCATGCCTGTTGGAGCCATTAGGCAACGGGCAGATGGAACAAACAGCTGCTGGCCAGCCGGACCCTCCACGGGGGTGGCCACACTCAGGGGGATGTCCCCCAGCTTGCAAGACCTCAGGGCCATCCCAGCAGGGTGCCACAGAGCAGGGGGTTAGCTATGAAGAGATGGGCTGTCTGGTCCAAGGGTGGAGACTAGGGTCACAGAAGGAAGGATTAAAGTCAGAGGGAGGAGGCTTTTAGTTAGTGGCTCCAAACTCTGGTCAGAAGCAGGGGAGAAGGCAAGACCCCTAGTCTGAAGGTAGAGGCTCATTTGAGAGGTGGTAGAGGCTAGGGCCCAGTGAGGGAGTGCGTCAAGATCTAGTCCAAGGGCAAAGACAGAGATGTCAGGTCAGAGGGAAGAGTCTCTAGTCAGAAGGAGGATGATGAACACTCAGGTTGGGTGAGGATGATGAATGCTCAGGCCATGTTCTGTCAGAGTCAAGGACCAGGAGTAAGGAGACAGATCTGATGGGGGAAGCCTGTCTGAGGATGGGGGCAAGTCTGTCCTCTGAAAGGAGAGTGGGGATCTGGTCAGAGGGGGAAGGCAGCTAGGAAGCCTGGGTGGAAGGAGGTTCTAGTCTAAGTGGGAAAGCTCAAGACTGATAGGGAGGGAGGAATGGGGACAGATGCTGGGTCACAAGGCAGAAGCATGGGTCTGACTGGGAAAGGGCAGCAAGTGGAAATGATGTAGTCTGAAGGCAGAGGCTGAGTCAGATAGAGGAGAAAAATTAGTAGCATGATGGGAGCAGGGGCAGAAAAGTATGAAGACAGACGCTCTGGTCAGAGGAGGGAAACATCTCCAAAGAAGGGGAGACACTGGTCTGAGGGCGGAGGCCCAGGTTCCGGGCAGAGGCAGGTCTGACCAAGACTCACGTGTCAGAGAGCAGAGGCTGGGTCTGATGGGGAAGGGGAAGTGGGCGGTGAGGAGGCAAGTGTCTCTCGTCTGAAGGCAAGCACCCCTCCCAGCTCCCGATTCCCTCCCCTCCCGCCCCTCCTCCCTCAGGCTGGGACGCGGAGACCGGTGGCGGCGACACCGAGGATGGGCTCCGGCCCGACGTGCTGGTATCGCTCGCCGCGCCCAAGCGCTGCGCCGGCCGCTTCTCCGGCCGCCACCACTTCGTGGCCGGCAGGTTCGTGCCCGACGACGTGCGCCGAAAGTTCGCTCTGCGCCTGCCGGGATACACCGGCACCGACTGCGTCGCGGCGCTGTGACCGCCACCTGCGTTCTGGCGGCTTGGACCCGCGCCAATAAACAGACGTCCCACCACCACCTGGCCTCCTCCTTCTCTGTGCGCCGGGTTCGCCGCCCGGGTGGGCAAACTCGGGAAGGGACTTGCCACCGTACCCCAGAGCCCAGGCCGAAGGGATGGAGGGTAGTCGTCGCTGGCCGAGAAAACTAGCGCCAGAAGAGTAGAGGGTAGACTCAGGGTGGGACTTCCAGCCTGCTCGGGGTGGCCTAACGCCAACAGGATTGAAGTTAGACCCGATGGAGGATTTCTCGCCGCCTAAAGGGCTGCCTAAAGCGTGAGTGTTTGGGCAGCTTCAGGCTCGAGTCCAAGAGAGGCACGTCCCACAGGCAGCTTGGGACCCAAGGTGGAGAATGGAGAGTGGGTTGAGGGAGGGACTTCCAGCTGGCGACGGGGGAGTGGGGGGGAGTGACGCAGGCCAGCCTGAGGGCGGAGGCACAGCCGGACGCACCGAAGGGGGCGACCGGGAGAGGTTGCGAGCGCACCGAAGTCACCGGGGGCCAGGGAGCATTGCTCCGACGGGGCGTGGCCTGGACGGGGCGTGGCCTGCGGTCACCTCCCGCCCCCATCCTCAGCCCCAGCGGCCGCCAGACCCGCGGGAGTCAGATCCGCGCGCGCCGCGGAGCCCGGACCCTCCCTCGGACGCTCGGACCCGGCCATGGCGTCACTGCCGCCACTACTCTGCCTCTTTGTCGCCGCCGCGCACCTGGCGGGGGCTCGAGGTGAGGCGCCCCCTGACCCCAGCCCAGACCCCTAGGAGCCCTGGCAGCCCGCCTGGCTTGCAGCCGCTCCCGGAGACAGAACCGAGGGATCCGCTCGTATCCGCAGGCCTGGGTCCCCCTTCGTCAGCCCGGGAGTGGAGTGGGGGCGTCGGGGAGATGGATCCTTGGGACCAACAACGCGGGGAGGGGAGGAAACCTCTGTTCTTTTCCCTCCTCAAAGAGAAGTAGGGGCACTTGGAGTATAGATATGAACCTTAGGCTCCTCTGGGTTCCCGGGGAACACAGGGGGCCTGTCTCAGCCCTGAAGCACCTGGTCCTGGACCAGGATTAAGGGGTCAGAGCCATCCCTTCTCACATAACTCCTCTCCTCCTCCACACACACACCATTCACAAAAATTCCCAGCTCTGGAATCCCCCTCAGTGGAGAGGGCACTGGATCCATTTCTCAGATGAGGAGACTGACTGAGACACAGACAGGGAAGGGACTTGTCTGAGGTCACGGTCCAGCCTGGCTATCTTAGATAACTCAAGGTCAGAGAAGCCAGGCTAGATTCCAAAGACTTCCTCCCAGTGGCAGCTTGGGCTCCAAGTGAAGGGATGGAAGGTGCACTGAGGGAGGGACTTCCAGCCCGCAAATGGATGAAGGGGAATGCAGCTCAGCCTGAGGGCAGAGGAACAGCCAATTGAGCTCATGGCCGCTGAGTACACTCCGGAGAACTGGGTCTGGGGAGCAAAGCAGACACACAGACTTCCCCAGCCCATGGTATCTGGGCGAGGGCAGAGGGAGGGATGGGGTGGCAGGAGATTGGGGGTAGGGGTCACAGGGAGGCTTCCTAGAAGGGGAGGGGGAGGTTCTGCATTCCTTGGGGTCAGCCAGAGCTAGGTTCTGGCTTCTCAGAGCCTCAATTTTCTTCCCTGTGAAATGGGGATGATCATGACAGCACCTTGCATAGAAGGAGCTCACAGAAGTCCCCATCAGTATGCTTCCTTCCCCCCCCCCCCCCCGGCTCCTCACCCCTTCCACAGTCACACCCCCCCCTGAGGAGCCCACAGCAACTGCCTGGGGCTTTGAAGGTCCATCACTGCGCCCTGGACAGTCCTCGCCAGCCCTGGAGGACTGGGAAGGTGAGTCATCCTGGGTCCAAGTCCTGACTCTGCTGTGGACTCACTGTGCGAGCTCTAGCTGGTGTGGTCATGTGAGGAGGGGATGCAAGGGGTAGAAGTGGCCAGTACCATCCTGGTCCCTGGACATGGTGGCCCCTGGCATAGGTGTCCCAAGAGGTCTAAATTTTAGGAGCAGAGGGGTGAGAGTTCAGGCTGTCAAGGAGGAAACCAATGTAGGGTGTATGGGGGGGTACTTCCTCGCCCCTACTGGAGGCATCAATGCAGGGTGCTTCCAGTAGATTCCAGACCTCTAGTTCTGGAACCTGGGTCTCCAGTTTCCTAGCTGGGAAAGTCACTTGAGTCAGGAAAGGAATGAGCACCCCCTGGGGGGGGGGTGTTTGGTGGAAGCCGAATCTGACCTCTGGGAGGCCAGACCCTTCCCACCTGTGACTTCTGTGATGGGTTCAGCCAGGCAGTGAGCAAGGGCCCAGCTGGCTCTGACCTGGAGCGGCCAGGCGGCAGAAAGCTACAGCTAGGGCTGGTCTCAGGCCCGACTCCTCCTGCTGCCCTTGTACCTCCTCACACCTCAGGGGTTCTGAATTCTGAGATGGGGGGCAGGCTCAATTCTAAGGTTGGGGACTGGTCAGACAGTGGCAAGATGTGAGCGTGGCAAAATGTCAGCCTGCACCGGTGGGCAAGCTCAAGAATTGGGCAGCAGAACTGGAGCTGGTGCTAGGGGAGGCCAACCTCCCGCGATCCCTTTATAGCTCCTTCTGCCCAAGAGAACCCTGGATCTTGGCGGGGTCATGGGCGGGCTGGGTTAGCCCGTGCTCACTGGGGGTGGGGTGACCGTTTTAGACAGCAGGGTAAGGCCCTTACCTCGGAGATGGGGGTGGGCAGGCAGTTTCCCGGGCCCCTGCGTGCACTGATGGGGCCCGACAGGCTGCGGCCCGGGTCCCAGCGCGTGCGGTGCCCGCAGAGGCCAGCGAGTGGACGTCCTGGTTCAACGTGGACCACCCCGGCGGCGATGGCGACTTCGAGAGTCTGGCCGCCATCCGCTTCTATTACGGACCAGCGCGCGTGTGCCCGCGGCCGCTGGCGCTAGAGGCGCGCACCACGGACTGGGCCCTGCCGTCCACTGTAGGCGAGCGCGTGCACTTGAACCCCACGCGAGGTTTCTGGTGCCTCAACCGTGAGCAGCCCCGCGGCCGCCGCTGCTCCAACTACCATGTGCGCTTCCGCTGCCCGCTCGGTGAGGGCGGGGCCGGGGGCGGGGCCTGTGTGGTGATGGGCGGGTCTGGGGAGAGGGCGGGCTCGAGAGCCGTCATGCTGAGGAAAGAGTGGGGATTGGCCGGGATGGGTCACTGGTGGGTGGAGCCTGAATGGGCGGTAATGGAGGAGGGGGCAGGGTTTGGGGGATGTGGGCGTGGTTAGAAAGAGGCGGGGCTCTTTAGCAGAGCCCCAGGAGCCGGCAGGATCAGATGGGGGCGGGGCTTTGGAAGGGAGGGGCTGCCAATAGCGGCCCAGGTAGGGAACGGGAAGGACCCCCCCAGGAGCTCATCTCCCTCTCGCTGTCCTCATTTGCTAATCTGTCACAGCCCCGTTCTGTGGGGGCGTGTTTTGACCCCAAATATGTGTAGGGAGAACAGCAGGGCTAACTTCGGGAAGCTTATCTGGGGTTGGGGAAAATGGGGCGGTACCTTAACTGCGCCTTCGACAGGTGCGCCTGAAGGACAACCGATGGGGGCAGTGGGCAGGGCCTCTCTCTGGGGGATACCCACCCTCTGATGAACTTAGCGGGGGGGGGGCATCCTCCAGTCCCACATTGTTACCAGATTTCCAGGGAGGCGCAGTCCCTGGAAGGGTGGGCGGCCGCCTCACCTTCCCCCCTCTCCGCCCTTACCGCAGAGGCCACGTGGGGCGCGTGGGGCCCGTGGAGTCCCTGTTCAGGGAGCTGCGGGCCAGGCCGTCGCTTGCGCCGCCGCCGCTGTCCAAGCCCGGCTGGGGATGCGTGTCCGGGGCGTCCCTTGGAGGCTCAAAAGTGTGTACGCCCTACATGTCCAGGTAGGAGGGTTGGGGCCTGGAGGCAAGTGCTGAGTTAGAGGCGGAGCCTGGATGTGGAACAAGGCGGCTTTTAGCCAAGGCTACCCTAGGGGGAAGAGGCCGGTTGGGATGGAGCCTGATGGGGCGGGGCTTGAAGGGAAGAGGCGGGTCCTGGAGGGCCAAAACTTGGACTGGCCCTTCATTCCCTTCTGGGCCCCTGAGGAGCACTGGTGAATGTGTACATCTGGGTGGGTGGACGCCTTGAGCGTCGCGTCCAGGCGTGTGCACATCCAAGTGGGCATTACCTTGGGTACACCGCCGTGTGTGTGTATGTCCTGCTGGACGTGGGACACACACAGAAGCTGGCTCACACACTCGGGGTGCACACGCGTGGCATTCGCAGCCCCCCGCCTGTCCCTCACGCCCACGCGGACACGCGCTCACACCCTGGCAGACACCATGCCCAAGCCCTCCCAGGACCAGACACCAGGCCAGCCAGGAGGCGACTGGAAATTCCGATTCGCCTGGGCTCCACAAACATGGTCTGGAGACTGCGCCCGCAGAGCCCATGGCAGGGTGGGGGAGTACGGTGGCCAATGGGGTAGTGGGGTCCCCACCCTACCCCGCCTGGCTCTGCCCTCCTGACGCCTCTGCCCTGAAGTTTCCAGCGGAATTTTCCATTTTATGGAGAAACCGCAGGATTGGGAGGGGAGGGAGATGTTCTGAGCCCAAGACCCAACCCCTAACCGGGCCCCCAGCCCCTGCTGGACATTTTCTCTCATGCTGGAAGGAGCCTCTCTGTCCTGTGAGAGTCACCTCCTCTGTCCCCTCCTCCACGGCATTTTCCCCCATCCCTCTGGACCACAGGTCCCTCCCTCTGCCCCAGTTCTGACTACTCAACCCCATATCCCCACTCATACTAGGGGCTGTTCCAAGCAGGGTCATGCTGAGGCCTCTGAGGGTCAGAAAGGGGGGTGTCTAGGCATCTTTGCTGTGGAAGGCCCTCCCCAGGAGGGAGTGAAGAGGCCCTCCTGTCCCTCTGCCTCCCTGTGTCCCCCAGGGTGCAGCTCCAAGACCTGCAGGTGCCCTGACCACATCCTCCTGGGCTCGGTGGTCACCCCATCTGGGCGTCCACTGCCAGGA